TGCAAAATATGGGGAAAATAAAAAGAAATCATATCGTGGTAAGAAACCTGTAACTAGTGATAATCATTTAGTGAATAACCACAAAAGTATTAAAATCTACATTTTTGAAATTACCGACATCTGCAACTTGAAGAAAAGCGAAATTGCTGTTATTAAAGTTTTACTTACTTTGCCACCTCCATGTTGGCAAGTTGAGTGGTGAGCCTATGAATTTGGTCTTCGTAGGTACTGTTTTGGCGTTTTAAATCTCCGATGAGGGTCTTTGTACTTTGCAGTTTATCTATTAGAACACGTTTCTCTTGTTCACAGGATGCTGAAAACATTTTACAAGTGAATAAAACTCTCTTTGATTGGTAATTGACAATTACGCACCAGAGTTTATGGCAAAAGTAGCAGTTGGCATGCGTTTAAGTATATAGGGTTATTTGTAAATTACTAACATAATATACAACAAAAAAGAATTCAAATGGAAGTAACTTTATTAGCTTCTCCCCAAACCGAGTGATTGTTCGACATCGAGTATATAACACAGAAATAGAGACGATATGTCATTTAATATCTTTGAAAACTATTCTGCCAAATCATAACTGCGCTCCGATTGGCCAGCCCGAATTCGAAACAATTGACTGGTGTCGCCAATTGTTTTACTTCAAATCGACCAGTTTAACTTGAGCTTTGCTATAATGAATATACGGAGACGTACACACAGGTCAGTTGTTGGCGCAGTCTATATTTCAGTGCAAACGAGATTTGATATTTATAAGTGATGTATCACTGATGAGTAACCAGAAATGTATGTCCCTTATTAATTTCGTCTCTATTTCTGGTTATATACTCGATGGCCCGAGCCTACGGGCCTTAGGGCAAATCTGCCACAGTATTATCATCGTTGAGAGCGATCTATATGAATATTTTTATTTTTGTACGAAAGTTAAATCATTAAAAGTCATGGAACAAAAGTAGTTGTTTATGATGTTAGTAATATAGACATGCAAGGTCGTTAGTATTCTACAAATCGACAGCTTTTTGGAATAGAAGCCTATCTCAAAACCATATAATTCATCAGGATGATTTAAAGAAACTGAGACGTGTCTGCGCGCAACGTTGACGAGTCATAGACCATTCCAATGTTGTCATGTGGCTATTTTAACCAACGAAAAGCTCGGCGTCCCATTCACGACAAAATTTAGCATTTTTTGAATACACCTCAGTAATATACCAAAAAAGGATCAGCTTAGGATTGGACCACTATTCTTGGGAAAGCAGCAAAATAACCCTGTATCAAATATACACACATCAAAAGTGTCCAGGAATCAAGGTTTTTTTTAACTGACTTAAAAAAAGGAGGAAGTTCTCAATTTGACAGTATTTAATTTAATTTTTTTGTATGTATTTACATACACAATTTGTGAACCGATTTTGATATATCTTTTTTTTTTCTTGGAAAGAGGATACCTCAGTTTTAGACCCATTTAAATTTGAAGAAAATATTCCACTTCTAAGAGTGGCAAACTAGGGGATGTATCCGGTTTCGCGTACTTTCCGGTAACCGATTTCAATGAAACTTGGCAAATAGATGTAAATAATTGGCAAATAATACCCCAAATTTTTGAGGTTGGTTTTTTATTATAAAAAAGATACAATTATTATTTTAATTAAAATTAAATAAAAAATATCTATATAAATTTATTATTTATTTATTAAACTATGAAATTAACCAAAAAAAAACGGTGTTAAGGAAGATTAATTTAAAAAAAAACCCTGATTTTCAGTAATTGGAAAAACGTGCTTGATCCCTGGACACTTTTAATGTGTATATAAAAGTAAGTACATATATAAAATCCATACTATACTCCGTCGAACTACTTATTTAATTTTTGACATATGCCTCCAATGTTCCGTACTTATTGACATACAACCGTAGACAAAAAAAATGCAATACTTCCGGGACTCTTTTATTTTTTTAATTTTAGTGAAGCGACGTGCTCTTTAGCTCCGATATTTATCGAGCCAACAGATTATGTAACGAAGATTATTCAAGTTCATAAATTTTGGTACCTGTCTAATAAATTATAATGAAATGAAATAAATTATAAATAATTATAATAATTTTTTATTGTTTCTTATAATGAATCGTCAGATTCTTCCCATGTGAACGGGAATCATCAGTTGAATCCTCATTGACATTAGTTATTAATTCGTGAGTATACAAATTGTGAAACACAACATAACGATCCCAATCCCAACTGCCTCCGTGGCCGAACGGTTACCATACCGGACTGCCACGCAGAGGTCCCCGGGTTCGATTACCGGGCCGGGAGAAATATTTGTATGGCCTACATTTATTTCTCTCGTGAGTTTGGGTGTAATTTGTGGTTGTCTATGTGTGTGTCCATGGCACCTGCGACACAGGGTTTCCCTAGTGCGGGGCTATGTTGAGTATGTGCGTTATTATTATTATTATTATTATAATCAGACAATATCTTCTTTTTTGAACCCGTTCACATTCACGATTGAAACCTCTTCATAAATAAAATCAATTGTTGTAAAAAAATCGAATTCGAAACGTATTAGGACACACTAATTGATTAGAATTCAAGCTACCAAAAGTTAAATAAATAGTTGGACGGAGTATAAATGCTCACCTAAACATTTCTCCACATGTCTAAATCTAGCGTCTGCAGTTTCTTCTCGCTTTTTTATGTCAGCTAGCTGGCGTAGAGTCTTGGCGAGATCAGCCCTGACCTCGGATTCAGCAGCAGCTGCTTTTGTCAGTGAGCACTTTAGATTATCTATGGTCGTCTTGAGCGACGTGCAACGCGATTCCAGTGAATTTATGGTACGGGTGTAGCACTCCAGGCGCTCGTTCAATTTCTGTTAAATAATTTAAATTTTTATTGAATTGATATTCAATTTTTTTTATGTGAAATTACTCCACTAGTTTGTTATAATTATGAATACAAAGATTGAACACTCAGAAAAACTTTCTTTGATCCGGCCGGATTCGAACCGACGTCTTCTAGCATACCGTGTCAGACGCTATACCAACTAAGCCATGGAACAAACCAGCGGAGCTCACGAATTTTTCTGTACTTGTGTCGTGTCTTTGCATTTGATTTTTCAACGACTTTTTAGCCGTAGCGCCATCTATGAGAAATCTATGATATTTCGACACCCAGGTAGATATCTTTACAGCTACCAGCGCCGGCTAGAGATGTCGCTGTGTGAATTATTTTTATGTGAAATTACTCCACTAGTTTGTTATAATTATTAATACAAAGACCGAACATTCAGAAAAAATTCCACGAAACACTAATAATTTACTAATTATTTTAATTAATGATGCGTACTCTACAAAAATGGAAATTAACAGAGTATATTCATACTTGAATGTCAATTAATACACACACCATTATCCGAAATCCCCGTACGATGAAAAAGAAAAGCCAAAAAAATCTAAAATATATTAACAAATAATTTTAATGCATATAGAACATTAGCATTAGAACGCACAAATCCTTTTCTTAAAATAGTTTCCATCGGCCCTAAGAGTCACAAGCATCGATACTACCTCGGCTCAAATTAAAATTTCTCCCTTACTAAATCGGGTCCATTTTGCTTGTGTCGATCGACAAGGACACAGGCTTTATTACAAACGAAATTACAGCCATTAAAAAAAAGTATATCGCACGGTATACGTGTTCCATTTAGTTCAGTTGATATAAAACAATCAGTGATACACGCAAAGTACCTATTGAATACCGCGGTTTTCTTGTAAAATTTCGAGGTAAATTTATGTTTTTCTTTCAATAGTGAAGATTTTTAGGAACCGTGATTTCACACAATATAGTAATCAGTCTATATCATCAATTTTACTATATATTTTTTCCAAAGTAATAGATTCCACACTTTCACTGTTACGGAACCAACCAAAGCCATTTCAGGTTGTGTAGTTTCTTAATTAATATTGATAAAGCATTTTTTTAAATTTAATACATAATGAATAGAAATTCCCGTTTCTCTTGTTGCATGGATATAAGTTTTTCTGACTGGATTAATGCGATTCATTGTCTTTAAGTGTGGTGACTCCTTTATTGCTATTTAACTATAAATTGCCAAACAGTGAATGGACACCTACTTTTTCGAAGACGGTTATTAAATAAAAGTAGTACCCCGATTGCACTGTCCTTTTCCTTGATGGCGGCGTTAGAGCGCTGCAAATCGCCTTCTAAGCGCGCGCGCAATATGTCCAGACGTGACGCTCGGGCTACACAAGAGAACACAAATATACACATGCAATATTACGCCGACACTGGAAAGGTAAAACGTCTTACGTACTCGTACATTTGGAAAATCGAAATGTACGTAAAACGTTTTACCTTTCAAGTGTCGACGTAATTTTTTTGCATGAAATGTCATACATTTTGGAAAGCTACGTTAATCATTACCTAATTTTGCTTTTTTTTAACCTAGGTTATATAGCAGTGTGCACGCTTGAAAGGTTGATGTGGTAAGCAATGAAACTCCAAGTTCATATCAAGTACACGCACGTATATTTAAAATTTTTTGTGTATTAAAGTTCTGAGTGGTACTGCAACTGTTATGGACAGGCATGTAGCTTACCTTACCATCACCTGATTTTCGTATGTCTCTTATTGTTTTTATAAAAAAAAATCACAAATAGGTACTACATTTATATTAAACATGACTAGCCCGGCGAACGTTAGCTGAACGAGAGAGTGATCGAATGTTCATGCCCCCTAATTTGGTCTTCACACTTTTGGTTGGTCACATCACTCTTTCAAACGTGCACAAGCAGAGATCTGTGTTCTACAGTGAAACTTAAGGGTAGACACAGTAAGCTATAGGACTAATGCCGCACTCTGAGCATCAAATCCATAGGTAAAAGATGGTAACCATGAACTAAAGTTATCTGTGTCATTATTCAGAAAACCCAAGAGCCATCATTTCTTTCAGTTAATCACAGGTTAGTTGGAATAATACAATAACATTTTAATTTTTGTTAACATTTATATTAGTTTTGATGTGTTTACATACATAATTAAATACATCAATTACATATGGGTTATTTGAATAGAGAGCGAAGCAAAAAATCTGGAACACTACAGGTAGAACTACATATAGCGTACCGGCACGACCCGGCAGAGCAAAATATTGTTTTGGACGATGTTGTATGACTCCGCTGGAGTAGCTATCCTCACTAACCGCTGTATTATTTTTATTATAACTGCGTAAAAAGTACAAGACAAGTCCCATATGCCTGTAATTTCACCAGCGCCCCTTCAAAACCGGTTACGCAGTAATACTCACATGACTGTTTAGCGGCAGAAATAGGTAAGGTGTCAGTACTAACATGGACGAAATATTTTATACGGACCTCTACTGCTACTAAAATATTTTCCAATGTGTAACAATCGTGAAACCTAAAAACTCGATACGAATTTCAACGGTTAGTTAAGATAGAAAAGATATATGAACACAGCACAGTGTCGATCCGCCTTAAATGTTTCCATATAGCAATACCTTCAGCGGCACCTAGAGCTTGTTGCTGCATTTTCATTTCAACTTCTCGTTCGGTCACCAGTTTTCGGAGGCATTCGCATTGAGCCTATAAACGCAAAATTGCAATTTCATTTCTAAATAACAAATAATCTATTTTACGAAACAAAAAAGAATACTCTCAACTTGAGCCTCTAAATATTTCATTATATACAAGATTTCTAATGTGGGTTAAATCTTGTAGATATGATATTTAATTATATCTGTCTGGCTTTACGGGCATTGAAAAAAATAATACAACATAAAACAATCAAAGTCAAAGTGGGCAACATCGAGTATTATATATTAATTTGTTTGAAAACTATTCTGCCAAATGGCAACTACGCTCCGATTGGCTAGCCCGAATTCGAAACTATTGACGGGTGTCGTCAATTGTTTCACTTCAAATCGACCAGTTTAACTTGAGCTTTCGCATAATGGACGAAAATTGAAAGATTATGTTATTTACGCTGATGCCGTCGATAAGACATCATTTTAATTTGATCTAGTATTACTTATTTGAACATAATGAAGGTTTTATATAATTGTACCTGAGTTAAACCGTTATTTTGTTCTGCTACAGGCATACCTTACCTTTATCTTTCTTTCTTTTCCTGTTCTTTACCTATTACTATTTTACAATAAATGATGTGGACTGACCCTTTCTTTTAATTACTCAAAACCCTCGGCCACACACTTATCTGTTAAATGCGTAAGAAGGCTCTCAGATCCAAAAGGTTGGTCACATACCTTAGGTTATCGACTGTACCAACGCAGGGTGTTAATATCAAGTAATAAACGTTAGAATATATTGTTTCTTACAATTAGATTTGCTTTATCTTGATCCATGTTACTCAAGACATTTTCGAGGGTAGTGACTTTGTCTCGTAGCTCGCTGATTTCCGTCACCTTTGCTTGCACATCTTCGCACTAAAACAATAATAAATTGGCATCTGAGTCCCCAAATGATTAGATGAATGTCTACATAGCAATACAAGGAGTGGCAGAGTGGTAAAAACCACCAAATTAAGAACTTATTCCGGAATTCCGGAAAAAGTTACACAGCATCTTAGAATAAAACTACTCACCTAAGACGCTAACATTGGATTTTAAAGTAATTCCTGCGACGCAATCGCTACATATGTACGCACCCTGAGACTTGAGTGCACAGTATTAGATAGACTACCTCCGTGGCCGAACGGTTACCATGCCGGACTGCCACGCAGAGGTCCCAGGTTCGATTCCCGGGCCGGGAGAAATATTTGTATGGCTTACATTTATTTCTCTCGTGAGTTTGGGTGTAATTTGTGGTTGTCTATGTGTGTGTCCATGGCACCCGCGACACAGGGTTTCCCTAGTGCGGGGCTATGTTGAGTGTGTGCGTTATATATTTATTATTTTATTGAATAAAAAACAAACTATATCCCGAATTCCGAAATTCGAAATAGTGATTATTTCATTTATGGTGGTTTTAACTACCGTATGTCACTAATTGTATCTATACGTAGACAAATAGTGATATAAATTTAAAAATAACTGCTGCAAGCTTACATGTTAGTCATTACTTTATTTGTCACTAGAGTAAATTAACCCAACAGTAGTTTTACCATTTTTTCACGTGCGTACGAACTCGGATTCGAACCCACGGCCTCTGCTGGAGACGCGGTAGATTTAAACAAAAGGCTACCACGGCTAGTAGGTATATTATTGTAATTGCCCACTGGCTTTCACAAATAGTGTGTGTGAATTCAAAATACCTACCATAGCCTTCAACTGTGCTTCCATCTGGCAGAAGCTAGACTGCAACTTCGCCTTTTCGTCCTGCAAAAGGCGAAGGTTGCTGGTTACGCTCTGGAGCTTGCCTTCGCCTTTGCCGTGCTGTTCTGTAGCTTCTTTCAGTTGCTTTTTAAAGACGGCTAGCTGGGACTTGTAGTCATCCTGAAATTTTAGAAAAATTCCTTGTTTGAAAATAGTGAAAATCACTGAGAATACGAGAGCAAGGAAAGATTTCATATTTTCACAAATTTAGTAAAGGATATCCGCTATGCGAGTTATTAATACATGCTATTAATAGTTATTTGTTGTATTGAAACCTGAGCAAGCGAAGGATTGTAAGTCTCAGGTTTGAAGGCACGAGATACAAAACAACTTTGCTGCCGAGCGAAATCCACAACTTTTCACCTCACTATAGCGAGGAAAATGGTAGATGAGAGAAAAACAGTTGAACTATAACCAACCAGTTTTAATAAACAAAATTACCAATACCGTACCAATACCCAGGTACCCTCTTCCTAACAAAAAATGAACCATCAAAATCAGACAGTTGAATGAGAACCTTCTCCTTTTTTGAAAAACAAAAAGGATGTCTACACACAGGTTGAACATGTCTGCGAACTTTGTACTTTTAATAGACCGGCAAAATTTAAATTGACGTCTACATTACTTTTGTACACAAAGGGGTTACCTTCTCCCGTTCTATCTGGCAGACTTCATGCATCAGATTGCGCACTCCCTTCTTCACCTGCTCCGGATCCACGTCGATAATTTCGTTTCGGTCTTCAGATTGATCTCGACCTCCTGTTAACAAGAAAGTGTGCGCTTCAGGCCACAATTTTTTTATGGACCCGTATTTGTTTAGGACTTTTTCAACTTCCTGAGTTACTAAAAACCCTTTCGGTGGTTTAGGGCCACAAGGAGAAATGACCACATTTAAAAAGGACCTCTTCTCAAATTGACCATTTCTTGAATTGACCATTCTTGAAATGACCATTTTAGTTTTTAATTATAAATTGGTTTTTTTTACTATTTTTAGGCCTTTCGCCAATTTAGGACCATGCCGACATTTATCTAAACTAAAAAGGAAATGAAATGTTTGAAATGTTTTATTTGCCTGTTTTTGTCAAATGGTTGCGAAATCCAGTTGCGATGGACGGAGGTACGTTACCCTCCTGGGCGGTAATAAGCAATATCTAACGTATATACCTAAAGGTCCATCGTCAAACTTGTGGTAATGTTCCTAATACGAAGCAGAAACAAATTGAATTGTAAAAGTAGGCAGTGCAAGAATTAGCTAATTCAAGAAGTTACCATTTCAAGACTTGTTCTTTTGTAGAAGTAGCATTTAAAAAAATGGTAATTTCAAGAAGTGATCATTTGTAGAAGTGGTTATTTGAAGATGTCATTTTTCATTGTGGTCCTAACCGCTGAAAGGACTGTAGATCCCTGACATGTTTCCGATTATTTATATCTAATCTATCCGAAACACAAAAACACCAAAAATAATTTTCAAAAATGTAAAAACTCCACTTTCCGTGGTGCCCCCTTTCGTACAGTCCAACCGGTTTTGTATCACGTATAAATAACTCAATGTTAATAACTCAATGTCGCTAAACATGTCCATTATGTCAGTTATGATAAGAGATAAGGTCCATTTGTAAGGTCAGGGTACTTTACAAATATCCACGACATATACCTTCAACTTCATATTCGCTTGAGTCCTGTGTATTCAAAGATTCTTCGAAATCTCGGTTGGAATAAGCTCTCACATCCACTAACCTACATTTGCCCGCCAATGTCAATGCCAACATAATTGTTATTGAAGACAGTAAAAAGCAATTATTCAAGAAAGCACCACATGGCATATTTTAATTTTCCTATTTTTGCTTATTGGCGGTGCCCTTTTTGGATTTCGCCAGTAACGAGTTTAAAAATATTGCAAACATTTTAGATCTAAACTGTGTCACAATGATGTCAGTGAGGGACACATGACAGAAATCAAATGCTTTCTGTCATGTGTCCGAAATCAATTTTTCCATCCTTTATGTAGTCAACAAACGACACGACCGAAACGAGTTTACCCAAAAAGTTAGATGTGTATCATAATAAGACGGTATATATAAAATTCTAATTTTCGATAAATGAGGCCAGTACATTAAAAACATCTTCAAATTATATCACCAAAAAATATGATTTCGTCATTGTTAATTTTGTTTCTCAATAGAGAGGTCGAAGGTTTGAATCCGTGTGGCATATACTCGACTTTAATTTCTAAATATTTCTCTTTAAAATTGTCTATTTTGTGAATGTATAGCAGCAACAGAGTTAGTCCAGAGAAGTTCTGCCACTTTAGATCGTTTGCACACTACGAACGATTCGTATCCGGAGGTCTACTCTTTTTCAACGAAAAACGAAATTTCGATCGAAGTTTCGTATGTTTCTTACCACAATTCCATTTCATTGCGAAATTTCGTTCGAACGAAATTTGTTTGAGGTTTAGTTTTTCGAAACCTTACTCTATACATGACACGTCCGAACGAAAATTTGATTTTGATAGATAATTCTTCGGATTTTAACTTCAAATTGACTAAACTAAAAGTGTTACCTTTTGATTTCCGCAAGTGAGAATTTTGTTTAAAGTTTGATAGAAATGACAGAATCCTTTTATTGATCAAGGTTCTGTGAAGAACGCTTAGAGAGTAGAAGGAACCGTCGCCGCCAGCGCAATCAATTAAGTATAAGTATAATTCCCGACTTAAGTTTATAAAAAATTACAAACTAAGTTGGCAATTATTTGAAGAATTATTGTGCCAAGAAATAGTGCCCTTATTACTTTCAAAAGAAACACGTCATGAAATCGAGCCCACGATTGTGTTTTCTCGAGTCGAAAGAATATGAACTCCGAACCGAAAGATTGTTTTTGAATCAGCTGCTTTTTCAGCTCAAAGTTTACATGCCGGCCGAAGAGCAAACGTTCTGTTGGTGCAAATTTGTGAAAACATGTAAAAAGAATAAAGTTCTACCTAAGAAAATAAAGATTGTAAAACTTGATACAATACAATCATATTCTGTATCATATTTTTACTTTTGTTTAATGTTTACAAGAAATCTTGACGAGAGTTTCCAGCTCCTACATTTGGATATTAAAAATAATTACGTATAAGTATTTTGAATAAAACGTATACAAAGAATTTAATGTTTACTAAATAATAATTTTAATTTACTCTTCAAACTAATCGTATAATAATGAGTATTTTATAGTATCTCGGTTAATTTCGTCAAATATATATATTTATTTGTTTCTTTATATTTTCTGCAAGAATATTACAAAAAATGCTAAACCACATAATAAATGTAAAATTTAAAAATAAAGCAAAACAAGTGTATTAATTTTAACTTTAACAAAGTATAAACCGTAATTTACGGTAGTTAACATAAAAAATACCTACACAATATCATTCATTCCATTCGTTCACGAAAATCGTAAATGACTACGAAAATTGTAAATGCTAATGAAATACTTGCGCCTGACCTAAAAGGAATTAACGTAAGGTCATTGACGAAACGTCGTTTAAAATTCGTTCGTTAACGAACTACAAACATAATGAAGTAAATTGATTTTATATAATCATCTTTCACATTCTTTAATTCCTTGGGTAGAACTTTATTTCTTTTTTATTTAGAATACCGATAAGCAGGCAACTTTACGGCGGTGTTCAAGGCTTTGCAGCTTCGCCTCAACTAATTCTGAGTCACCTATAAGCCTCTTCACACGCTTGTCGATTGAATCCAAGGTAAGCGTTCTCTCTATCCCTCACGCATGTATAAAATTTTATAATAAAGCACTACAATTTCGAAGGCAAACGATTATGACCGATAGATTTTTTCTAAAGCTCGATATGTATATAAGTGAATAATATTGGTCTTGTAGTGTAATAACATACTGTAATAACATGTTGATATCAATACGCATGCAATAAAGCCAAACCAGACACACACAGACACACACAACGTTTTCGTATCAAATTTTATTTATAAATTATATAGTATTTAGTAGCGGTAGATCTCATTGTGAAAGAGTACATTATTGCCGTCATGTAGTAATATTAGCGTTACTGCGTTCCGGTTTTTAAGGGGGTAAAGTGTTGTTGAAACTATAGCCACATGGGGCTTGTCAACTTTGTCTCAGGGCGACAGATCTTTGCAATTTAAAGCTTTTGTGTGACACTGCAAATGTTTTGGTATGCGTGTCGCTTACCATCAGGCATACAACTTGTTCATCCCGTCACTTGGTATAATAGAAAAACTCGCCTAGTCGTTTCAATAATTGTTACAGCATTATCTTGAAATCGGTGTCAATCATAACAATAACTACTACTAATGGATAAATCACATTTGTAATAGGGGTGGAGCTCCTTGTAAAAGAGTTCGTCCAAGGAAGTACTACCACCTTACCTATTTCTGCTGCCAAGCAGTAATGTCATCATTACTGTGTTCCGGTTTTGAAAGGTAAGGGTGCTGGTGAAATTACAGGCACATGGGACTTGTCAACTTGTGTCTCAGGGTGACGGGCGCAGTGGCAATGCCCCTTAGATCTTTGCCGTTTAAAGCTCTGAGTGGCACTGCAACTGTTACGGACTGGCGTGTAGCTTACCATCAAACGCACGACTTGTTCGTCCCGTCACTTGTAATTAAAAAAAGAAGTCGAATATTTACTCAATGCTTCGAACCAGACAGTGGTCTTTAATTATGAGCTTCCGCGGCGATAACACAACAAAAACTAACGTATCGCTATATGATGTAGTAGTAATTTTGGGTGTAAAACTTTGATCGAATAAAACACACAATAAAGCCAAGCACACACTCCACACTCGTACCAAATGTCCGTACCATATTTACCTCTATGAGGACTGTATCTCCTGGACGGGCTGGCCAAGCGCCGTCGTGCCGCCGCCTGTATGGACCCATCGGGTTGAATGCCACACACTCGCCGCAATGTATGTGCTATTGATGACAACTTCGCTTCAGCCTCGCGTTTACCGCTCTCGCATTGGGTTAGTGAAGCTTCAAGTGCACGGCAACGGCTTTCGCTACCACCTAGACGGGCCTAGAAATAAAGAGTTAAAGTTGATAATAAAAGATACAAAAGTCTGAGACAATAAAAAACTCTGTTTTTCTCTATCTCTTTTTGCAAATACCCGGAAAGACTTGTAGTGTGCGCTCCCCTGTAAGGTCTATGGACTCGTGCGGTAATCAAAGTACATTTTTACCTTGAGTTCCTGTATTTGTTGAGTAGCATCAGCGAGGCAAACTTCCAGGTTGTGTTTAAGTTCTTCCAAACGTCGCTCCTTCGAGCGGCAATCCTCGAGACGAAGGACCAGTTCCTATTTAAAAAAAATATTTGCAATGCCATCTAGGGTCCGATTCTGAAAATAGTTTCCCTGTAGACTAATTTTGATAATTGTGAAGGACACAGTTAAATCAATTTTCGGTTTCAATTATTTTTTATGCGAAATTACTCCACTAGTTTGTTATAATTAGTAATACAAAGATCGAACACTCAGAAAAAATTACGTCGATCCGGCCGGATTCGAATCGACGTCTTCTAACAAACCGTGCCAGACGCGATGCCAACTAAGCGAAAACGAAACACCTCACCAATTTTTCTATGTGATTGTTGTAGTATCTTTTGTATTTTATGATAATAATTTATGATAAATAAATAAAATATTAGACAACATCACATGCTCTGACCCCAAAGTAAGTAACTAAAGCACTTGTGTTATGGAAATCGAAAACATGGAGGTACCAGAGACAATATTATAGAAAATTTGAAGGTTGTAAGCTACTAGCTTTATAATTTAATATTATTAAATACAAACTATGTGAATATACGTACAGTAACTAGCTCTCAATTATTGTCATATGCCTATAAATATACTCAAAATGATTGGAACATCGTACTGACAAAATTAGTTTTTTTAGATCTGGCCGCAGATCGATCTCAGGACCTCAGAGATGGCGACAACATGAAAACCGGTGTGTAAGCCGCTCGATCACGGAGGTCGTCAAAATATATCATAATAAAGTTTATGTCAATTGTGTAAAGTACAAACTAGATGCGATACGCGCGAGAATTTCCCGGAAGACGCGGTCTGTTTTTAGGCTCGTATCTAGTTTCGATAAAGACTATTACGCCGTCGTCGTCGTGGCGATAAAGATTTTTTTTCAAACATGGAAATGTTTGCATTATTTTTAAATAAGAACAAGTTGTCATTTACGTAACATTCAACTCGTATCTTCTCATCGTGCATTCGCATTCATTCTTTAGTTATTTATTATTTTGTCACATTATTTGAGAAGAGCACTGTATATACCTCGGCGGGAACGAGGATTGCCTGACTCGTATAATACAAGTAAGTCGTACTCGTCCGGCAACCCCTTACTTCCCGACCTCCGCAATAGTGTACTACAAGGATACGAGTTGCGGGAGGGGAGTGATAGGAAGAGCCTCGCCTGGTCCCTGGCCCTGCAGGCCTCCTCCAGTTCGGCCCCGCGCTGGCGACAGTTAGCGATCTCGGCGCGCGCCGCGGCCAGCATGGCCTCCAGCTCCGCGCCGTGCCTCCTCGCCGCCGCCGCGTCGCCCGCGCAGCGCTCGCGTTCCTCGCTCTCGTTCTGGAGCCTGCATTGTCACACACTCGCTGTACTCCATTCGCAGGACTACCTCTCACTACAGCACAGACATTGACAACGAAAGACTGCCTGCAAAGTGTGGTTCGAGGTCACCGTCTCTAATGGCCCCCATACAGACGCTTCGTCTTCACGATCCATCGTTTTAAACTGATCGAAACGACGAATCGGTAGTATATATTTAGATCGTTAACGATAAACGTAAACGCCAAGGGAGTAGATCGATACGACTATCGTGACGGTAGATCGAAAAGAGGAATGTGTATGAGGGCCTAAAAAGTTAAATAAATGCGACCACCCTTAGAGTATCATAACCATTTGAACCAAGAATAATCCAAAACGATACATATTTTTATATACAGAGAAATTTAAGAGTAAAACGACCTATTGAAAGTTGCTCGAATCCGCTAATTGTGAGCAACGCAAGACAGATCATTGTAGCAATTTAGGTCTAGATTTTATATTTATGAAATCTTTTAAAAGTTAAATTTACCTGGAGTGCAACTCTTTGATGTCATGGTTGGCCTGCTCCAGTGCAGCGCGCTCTCTCTTTAGTTGCGCCTCTGTAGCGCGCAATGTACGCGTCACTTGTTCCCCGCCAGTTTCCGTTTCCTTCAAGATATTTTGAAGACGCGAGACTTCTAGCTCGAGAGATGTGCGGTTCTCTTCTAAGGCTGTAGAAAGGTGAGAAATTTTGTTCACTTTGTGATATCCACCACCGCACCAGCCATTTTTGATATTGGCCAATATTAGTGATGCGCGCCTTTGAATGTTACTAATACTAATAATTCGAACGGGTAAATCATTCGTCTAAGTCGAATCCAAGCACAATCATTCGACAATCGAATGATTACCGATACCATTGCTCCTGCCATTGGGTCGGGTAGCACGAGTCGAATGATTATTATGTCGGAACTGCTCGGAACCATTCACCACGTTCACATCAAAATATCCCTGTCCCCATCACATTTACGGCTAGGTGATGATGAGCAGAAATGCTCAATGGAATTTATATATTAGTAATACTAACTAGTAATTAATGATCATTCTAATACGAAAATATGTAGGTTACTAATTTGTCATTCGAGTGACAGGATTAGTAAATTACTAACGAGTTGAATATCGAAATCATTCGCAATTGCGCATCACTAGCCAATATTCACGATTGACATGGGATCATCGAATGCATAAATGTACGTCCATAATCACAAACATTTTGCTCAGTAGTGATGGTCACACAACTGATGCATAACGTCTCTATAATAACTACTTGCTGATACGTTTCGCCAATCGGTATGACTCTTATTCTTGAACTTGTGTGACTGAAGTTACATGCATTTTTTAAATTTATTTATTAGTTACAAAATCATTTAAACACATTTGCCTGATTGTTGCAACTCCTCTAAAATAGACGGTATAATTGCTGTATATAATCTGTTTATTATGTGCTTATGGACAGTATTATCGATATCCACGATGAGTTACCATCGCTCTTGTTCGATTCTTTTAACCCGCAAAAGGCACTGTACTGGTCACATAATTGTTGTGTGTCTAATAAGAATTTACTGGTAAATTTCTTCAGTGGTTATGACGGTTTCTCTGTACCTACAGTTCAAAAGTTTAACACACTCCTACCGCTCGCAACAGGCGCTGTTGTACTTATTAGTTAGGACTATTCCATATTGGACGACTGCTTGAGGACGGGGTTGTTCCCGAGATGCTGGAAGTAGGGAAGGCTCGTCCTGATATCCAAGCCGGGCCGACCTGCGGACTCCCCCTCGGGGTTCAGACCCCTCGTCCTACTGGACGAGGTGGCGAAGATCCTGGTGCGAATTACGCCTCCAGGATCAACCAACACCTGAGGGGGACAGGCCCCGATGTGTCGCACCGGCAGTACGGGTTCAGGACTGGACTCTCCACCTTGGACGCCCTGGAGTCGCTGCGACACATCGTGGAGGAGGCTAACGGCGAGAGGGAGGGTGTAGTGGCTATGTCTCTGGACGTAGCCAACGCCTTCGGCACTCTCCCCTTCGCCGTTATCAGAGAGGCGCTGTGGTACCACGAGATCCCCAGGTACCTCAGCCGTCTGATGGAGCACTACCTGGAGGACAGGGTGGTGCTCTACCTCTCTATATGGCGGGAGGTAAACCCGGGGGGTTTTAGTGGGGTAGGCCCTCCAGCCTGGAGGAAGAGTCCCCACATAACTTTTGAGTCTCCCTGGGCTTAGGGGTATCTACAAAGATTTGCCCCCCGTAAAAAAAAAGCTCTGTTCCATATTGGACAAATTACTGTTGTATAGATGTAAAATAAGTACTTACTAACACAATTCTACATACAGATCGACGAGTTTAGATAGTTCCCGAAGCTCGCAACAGGCGCTGTTAAGGACTGGGTTCTATATTGGTCACATAACTACTCTATATATTCTGTACAATAAGTACTTACTGGTAATTTTATGGTAAGCCTCATCAGTGGCTCTGGCGGCTTCCCGTCGTTCTTGTTCGACGCGCTTAACATGTTCCCGCAGATCCCGACAAGTGCTGTTATACTTATCGCGCTCGGCGATACAGTTGGTTAGTTGACGACGTACGTCGGTAAGTTCTTTACGAAGACTGTCAGACTCGTTTTCCACTGTGAAACACAAATATATGTATATATTTTTTTAGTAGGAATTGAGTGGAATGAATTAATGTACAATTCTTTACTGTACATTAAAAATACAAAGACAAGAAGGCACGTACAAGTTTTCATGACCACGGTGACCCATCGGTTTTTTTTTGTATATTATATCGGTAGCAAATAAGCATACGGCCAGCCTGATAGAAAACGTTCACCATCACTTATGAACACTTGCAACACCAGGGGCGTCACGAGCGCGTTGCCAACCCTTTAGGACCCTTCTCAAACCCCTTTTGAAGCAGGACTCCATACTGTATTCCTGCGAGAAAACTCCGACAGGGAGTACGTTTCACAACCTAATTGTACGTGTGAGGTAGCTCCTATGAAACCGTTCAGTATGTCGACTCGATTCCAGAGCGTTAGGATGGACTCCTTGCAGGTGGCGAGAGGTGCGATGATAAAATATTGCTGTTAGCATCATGTCCACGGTTAGGGCACTGGATGAGGAAATTTCGAGTTCGATACCTGGTAGAAACAATTTGGAAATTAACTTTTATAAATTAGTTTTAGTCTGGTTGCTCTATGTAGTACCTCGGACTGAATTCAATACAGAGAATTCCCTAGTTTGAGGCCAGTTCATTGGTGTGGTTGTCTCGAATATTATTTAAAAAAGTAATAAGCTAAAAGCACAGCAGATGGCCTTATTGGTAAGTAGCAATTTCATTCAGGAAACCTTACGGAAGTGGTTTTTCTAACATCACACAAAATATGAAAACAGAAATGTTTACCCTTCTTGGCACAGGCAATTTAGTCTTACAAGAAATTAACAAAGATTTGGTAATCTTTGATAAACTATTAGAAAATTATTATTTATTATATGTGTAGTTACTTATATACTTACTTATATATATCTACAATGGCCTACAAATCTGTAACACTGATTTAGTTACCTAGTATCCGTTGCCAAGACCTCTCACTTAAAGTGGTTAGTTTTAATTATTTGATATTAAATTTATCTTATGAAGCTCCTTTTCGAGATCTTTGTTCCCATTAAATCTGTGGTTCTAGTGAAAAGGGGTACAAGTAAAAAAGACAACTTTACAAGGAGACATGAAAAACGGTTAAAGCTTAATATGATATTAAGCGTTAAGTGTTTTTCGCGTTTCCTCGTAAAGTTGGCTTTTTTAACTTGTACCTCTTTTCCCTAGAGCCATAGAAATATTTCCAAAGAACAAAAAATAAATGGTACATAGAGAATGTATACTTACGATCCTTCAGTTTCCTCAGCGTCTCCTGCAGCTGCGCGTACGCATTGTCGTACTTATCCTCAGCCAACGCGAGCTGCCCGCGTATCTCAGCGCATTCCTTATTCAGCGCTTCCTTCTCAAGGTGTAGCTCTTTGATGCGGTTCTGGAACTGCGCGCAGTCGTCCGCTGCTACAGCCCTGACAAACGGACAGGCACATTTAGAAATAATAATATTAAGTTCTTTTTCTGTCAAGAACTAGCCAAACTTACAGACATCAAGGTACCCTTATAGTTTCATTATGTTCGGCCGTATATATATTTACAAAAAAGGACAAATATTTTTGGTGAGTTCGATCGCTCTGAGAATTCTGAATCTTGGTCTTTATCCGTTGTAGAGTTAAATACAATGTAGTGATCAAGATAAAATAGGGAATACTTTGATGGTTTGGTCACTATATATTTGGACATTATATACAGAGGAGAGATCTTGGTAGTAAATTTGTAGAGCGTATGTGGATAGAAATGCACCCCCACCACTTTTGCGCTAATAGAATCAGTTGTGCACTAAGCAATTTTGTAAGCATACCGCACTCAGTGTGTGCTGCTCCTTAATTTTTTTTGCTTGCTTCATATCCATCATCACACAACATTAAAAGCCATTAAGATGAAATATTGTCAAAATCGGCAGGCGAGTTATTATGCCTGACGCCATATTGGTCTCATGATGTCTGTATAAAAACTTACTTAGCCTCTTCAAGTCTAGTCTTCATAGCAGCCAGCTCCTCCTTCAACTGGTTGATACATATTCTGTCTTGCTCGTTTTTCGCTTGCGCGTCCCTGCGCACGCGTTCCAACTTGTTCTGCTCGCAGTCAAGCGTTCGTTTCAATTCTTCCAGTCGCTCGAGTAGTGCTTGATGTTCCTGATGTGCTGTAGAAGAATAATATTTTTCTCAAACACGCTCGGAAATGTTTGCATTACTTTCAAGAAAAAGACCCCACAATGTTTTGACAAATAAATGACTTTATGGACCGTGTAACTCTTTGCTAACCTAGGCATTTTTTTTGCAAAAATTTAGTTCCAATGAAAAGAGCGAAACTACAATAATGGACAGACTTCGCCTAATTTAAAACAAGAAACAAAATTTGTCATGGAAAACTGGTTTACAATTTATATTTATATATAATATTCTTTATAATTTATTATTTCCTCGCATTGTTTGAGAAAAGCACTATAAGATGCTGATAAGCAATAACATCAACCAACATGATCATAGTTTTGCGAAAATGGCACCTAGAGATTTTTTCGTTGGTTTTGATAGTTTGTCCTAAAATTTACTTATATTTATCGAGTTCTTAAGGTGGGTATCCATTACGCTCGCGCACCGACCGTGCTCTACGCCAACTTAATTTTTTGGTCATCTCTGTTTTTATTTTGTTTCTTGTTTCTTCATTTTTTTCTTCACAAAATACGTTCTTTTTCTTTTTTTTTCGTATTTTGTTTTTTGATCTTTTATTATTGTTCCACAAAATTCGGGGAGCATCATATTAGTAAATAAAATACTGTAAGTAAAAGTACTCTTAATTGGGAGGTATTGATATATACGTTGATAGTATAATAATAATAATAACGCACACACTCAACATAGCCCCGCAGTAGGTTAACCCTGTGTCACGGACACACACACACACACACAGACAACCACAAATTACACCCAAACTCACGGGAGAAATAAATGTAAGCCATACAAACATTTCTCCCGGCCGGGGAATCAAACCTGGGACCTCTGCGTGACAGTCCGGCATGGTAACCATTCTTCCACGGAGGCAGTTAATATATCACACTACTGAGCAAGATGATCCTGGAAGGATGCACTTACCAATAATCAACGCTTGTTGCTTGTCATTCTCCGCTCGTAACATGGCCTCGTCATGCTGCAGTATCAACTGGTCTCTAGCAACCTGCATCTTCCTCTCTCGCTCCCTTGCAGTGGCTTCACATGCTTCCTTCTCGCTCGTTAGCGTTGCTAATGTTTGACTTAACTTTTGTTCAAGCGATTGGCGGAGCTGTTCCTGTAATTCGAATGTAGTTCACTACTGAAGATTTTTTCTAATGTTCAATACGTCGGGTCAGGTTTTGACAGTTAATAGCAGTAGAGCTCCTTGTGCCCAGAGTCCGTCCAGGAAATTACTGCCACCTTACCTGTTTCTAGCGGTAATGTGAGCATTACTGCGTTACGGTTTTGAAGAGTAAGGGTGTTGATGAAATTACAGGCACATGGGACTTATGAACTTGTGTCTCAGGGTGACGGGCGCAGTCGCAGTGCCCTTCAGATCTTTGCGATTTACAGCTCTGAGTGGCACTGTAACTGTTATGGATAGGCGTGTAGCTTGCCACCAGGCGCACGTCTTATTCGTCTCGTCACTTGGTATTATAAAAAAATTATGTAACGTGACCCTAATCTCGTAACACTTAGGCAGATTTTAGAATAAGCGTTTAATAATATAAGCGTTTTAATAGCGTTAATAAATATTTAAGGAACTTAAGATAAAAAATGCACAGCGTCCGTCTTCGACTTGCATGCAGCGTGTGATACTCTATTTTAGTCACGTGACAGGTAGAGATGCTAATAACCTGGAGCGTTTGATGGTGACAGGTAAGGTGGAGGGAAAGAGACCTAGAGGCAGGAGTCCCAAAAGGTGGTCGGATAAGATCTCCGAACAACAGGAGCTACATGTCAGGAAGTGATTAAGAAGAAGAGTTATTTGGGTAACGCTAGTTTTTTACACAGGAGGTCCTCGGTTTTACGAAAGCATAGCGGACTTTTAAATTGAAGATACTCAATACCTTATTGCATACCATAATGTTTCATACAAGGTGAAATCTGAACAAATTTTACTAATTTTATTCTAATCTTATTCTATTTTTTTTTTTTTTTTTTTATACCTGACAGGCAAATGACTCCACTCCACCTGATGTTAAGTGGAAAGTGGTATCCAAACGCGAAGGAACCTAGTGCAGCGATGGAATCCTCACTGCACTAGCCGCCTCCACCCTGCCTGCCTACAATATGCCTCTTCACGCCTCGTTTGAAGGACCCCATATCATAAGAGGGAGGGAAGACACTTTGGATCGCATAGATAATTAGTTGTAATTCTGTAATTGTAAATCTCAGATAAGACGGTTGAAATTTTACCTTTTCCTCTTTTAACTTAGTGATATTCTCGGTTGTAGTGCGGTTGATATTGGTGATGATCTGCTGGTATTCAGCCTCCTTCTTGCCGGCCTGCTGCTGCAGTGAAGCGCGTGTCTCACGAATTTTCTTCTCACTATTTGCTAGGTCCTTTGTCAGACGAGCTATTTGACCTAGACAAGATAGGTTTTGTGAATTTCTATCATACCTTTGACTTTATGTACCTAACATTCACCGCTTTACCGCTTCCCATAACGTTCCCTGGACGCTATAACGTGGACCTTTTCAATGCAAAAGTGAATATGCATTATATAAATAGGTGTGTATGGTCCAACGGCGACCTTATCGTCACATTCCATCAGTTAAATGGACGTCAAACGCCACTAACTCTATACATAAAAAAATCTTCGAAATGAGGTCATCAGAAGAGTATTATGACTTGGACAACAGTTTTAAGGCAGGATAAATAATTAATTGTAATAAATTTCTATCCTAACGTTGCCTGGAACAAATTGCCACATAGCAATAAGGCCGCCTGTTGCACATTATCTTACTATTTTTATACCTAAGTTAGTTTATTGTATTTTAACTGTAATTTGTGCAATAAAGAATATTTCATTCATAATTGAGCGTCATACTTAGTGTTGAATTTGACAGTTGACAACTATCAAAAATTAAAGTACTGAACGAAAACGATGGAGCTATTAAAAAGTTTTTTACCTATTTGGGAGATACCGGGGTAACACAGAAGGAAAGTTCGTGATATGCACGATAATCCACTATATTGCCAGGTTGTTGTTACACGTTACTACACCTATTCGTAATATTCACAGTGCTAGACGATTAAAAATGCCTCGCCGACGCGGCGCACTATTCGTTACCGCCGCTGAGCGCAACCCAAGTGAGAGTGAACTTTGCGTGAACGAATTGAATGAGGTTTAGGGTTGCGCCCACACCTATGATTCTTATTTTTCGCTGTAGTCCAATCATTTTAAATCTCGTTTTGCTCTAACTTGCTTTAAACTATGCAATTTTATTTTATTCACGCTAAATACAAGTTCATAATATATATAACATACATATATCTAAATGTATGTGGAAATATGGTCCTCCGAATTATATTTTTTCCAATTTTTCAGAATTTTTTCGGAAAAATTTCCACTATTTGCAATTTTTCTGAAAATTACCCAGTTCATTATACTGAGCATCTCCTTCTCACGCCCCACAAAACGGGCGATTGATTGGACGAGTCTTCCAGTCCAGAGTCCCATAGACATGTATCATACCGGACTTACGTAGGTTAAACTTGTACCTTTGTAGTTCTCCTGCTGTACTAAAGTTTCCTGCAACTCCTGTTCCAATTTGCTGCGTTTATTGTCGGAGTCTTCGAGCATGTTGGCCGTGTCGAAGAGAACGGCTTCGAGAGCGTCTTTCTCTGAACGCACGCCTGCGAGCTGTTCTTGGAGATGATGCTTATCTTTGTCTAGGCTGTCTATTAACATCTGTGTATATAATAATAAACACCAAGATCAGTACACAGTACAAAAAAAACCGACCTCAAAAATCATTCATCCCCTAGTTTGCCAGCTTTAGAGGTGGAATATTTTCTTCAAATTTAAATGGGACCAATGCTGAGGTACCCTCTTTCCAACACAAAAAGAATCATCAAAATCGATTCACCTATGAACGGAGTTACCGCGTTACAAATATACAAAAAAGCAGTCGACTTAAGATCCTCCTCCTTTTTTAAGTCGGTTAAAAAAGTGTTAAAAGCCGTCGGCTACGGAAACAACAAATCTACTTAGACCGCCGTGGATATTACTTTATAGATAATAAGCAGTGACCGAAATAGAGGAAGTTAATTTAGTTAAACTAAAGAAAAACCTGGACTTTCCCTTCCACATATCCCAAGACTTATCAGAACTGATTATATTTGTATATGCGTATTATTTATTGAAATTTAAGTACATTGGCGACAATTTAATATACTTCTGGACACATAATTCGAGCCACCTCGCGTTTTTGTCTTAAAAGGCTAGAATACAAAAGTAGTGTTATCGTTAAAGAAAAAGTTTTCCCCCGGTTTTGCAAATCCCAATTTGCAACAAGGATTTATGGGAAAGAAAATTAGTATACTGGTTTCAAAATTGCTTAATAGTTTTTGATCAATTAAACATTGTTTAAGTTTAGGGCATTTAATACTGAAAATGCGAGGTGGCTCGAATTACGTGTCCGAGAGCGTATTTCCTATGTAGTATTTGCTACAAATTATTGTTTCAAAAAACAATATTGTGATTGTGTTTCTGTACTTACTTACGTATATAAATATTTTAGACATTTAAAAAATAAACATGAGACAACCTATATATTGGAATGTTTAGAAAATAAATACCAAAAAAAGATACTTTACACGCATTGATGACGAAATGGGCGTGTCCACGGAAGAAAAAAAACAATGGAAGTGCCTTAAGCCTCGATTACTATCAGAACCGATGTCGCCAAAACTCACACATCCTTAATTTAAAACACTACAAAATCTTGATATTCATTGGTCGTAGTTTCAAAGTTCAAGTTTTTGCATATTGTTGAAAGTTCAATACCAGCAATATCTATTATTACAAGTTACGACGTTTTGATATTATCTGCCTGCCATCTAGCGGTTAATTCTTGAACGACGACGAATACTTAATTTCCTTCTCTAAAAAAGAAGCGGCCATATTGCTTTGGTATAAGCTTCACTTTCGTTTCTTTTAACAAAAAAATCGATAAACAGAAAATTGAAAATTTATTAAAATAAGACTCCGATGATATGAAATACCACCACGGGTAATATTTTTGGTACGGCTATCATTTTTGCACTCCAAAACAGCGCAATAAGGCATTTTTATAGGATTTAAAGAATTTGCACGAAAGAATGACACAACCATACCAAACAAAGCGAAAATGGCTGACTGAGCTCAAATAGGTCTTTCGAGACCTACAATTGGCACTCGTCAGACGTTAACTAACCACTTCTACATAATAAGAAAACTTTCATACTTTAGGTAGATTAACTTTCTCAATTTCGATCACTGCCCCTTACAAACGAGCTATACTTTTGAGTGTCACGTAACGTACCTGTTTCTCCTCGCCATCCTTAACGTGGTCTTCTAAAGCCCTGTTGATTCTCCCGATAGTCTCATTGGCTTGTTCCAACCGCTGCTGCAGGCGGATGATCTCTTCGTTTAGAGTATCTTTCTTACGCACCATTGCCGTCAGCTGGGAGCTCAGCTCTGAACGCTCTCTGGAGAGTTACGTATGTGTAAATTACTAGCTATAATATAGTGTAATAGAGCTAGCGGGAGAACAATTGCTTCTCAATTTTGGCGACCTCCGTGGTCGAGTGGCTTGCACACCAGTTTTCATGGTGTCGCCATCTTTTTTCTACGATTCACAACGATATTGGGACAATATTAATTCACCACAATTCCATTCCGGAACAGACAGCAGTCATCATCAGATAGTCGATCAAGGAAACCTACCTATGAACCTGTCGAAGTTCCAACTCAACCTTCTCCCGTTCGGTGTCCAGGAACTTGATCTTCTCCATGAGCGATGCCTTATCAGCCTCGAGCTCCATGCGTGTCTGCTCTGCAGCAAGTAGTTCCTTGCGTAGAGAGTTCAGGTCGCTTTGTTGTTCCGATGACTGGTTTGCTAGGGAGGTTTTTTCGCCTTCCAACTGGAAAAAGATAATAGTTTTACAAATCCAATAGTAAACGCGAGGTTATAAAAACGGTAATAACCGATCAGAACTTCAGACTTTCAGACCCATTTGCGTGGGCGTACCCAGGTTCTGGGCCATGGGGAGGCAAATCAGATTTTTTTCAAGTCGAATCCCGCGCGTTTGTTTTGCTTTACACACTACATGAAGACATGAAGAATACATTACACCTACGCTAAACATTAAGTATATACGGAAAACACCCGCAAGATATCCTGCTAATTCTTTATAGGTGCCTAGTCAAATAAATAAACAAATAAAAATAGGTATTTTTTTATTTAAATTCTTTAATTATATAGGATAGCTATTTTAAAAGCAACATTTAATCTATCTTCGATCATGGTTGATCTCAGCCACGTTTTTACGCGCCTGAGTGAGCTGGATGACCTTTCAATTGGCGTAGTGGAATAATTAATTAATTAACGTATATTATATGCAAAATGAGAACTTTTATCAACAACAGTATGGAGATATACAAAATCCAGTGGGAAGGGGCTGCTCTCCCCTGCCCTCTCCTGGGTACGCCCATGCCCATTTGGGTTAAATCTGATCTTCTGCTAATACTACAGCTTTCGTGCCGTCTCAGTATGCAGGCTTTGTCGAAATGTGGGTTATTCAATAAAAAAAAGCCTATATTCCTTTTTTGATATAACAACATCCGTGGTCGAGTGGCTTGCACACCGGTTTTTGTGGTGTTGCCATCTCCGAGGTCCCGGTTTCGAACCTCAGCCGGGTCAATATAAAAAACGAACTTTTCTTTTAAAGGTACCGCTACGTTGAGGTTCTAAAATCTCTTACTAGATGTCACTAGCGGCGCTGAATTCCGAAAAATGCAGTATAAAGATCTATAACAAAAAGAACTTGACCTGTAGCTCAGTTGTTTAGAGAAGTGCTACGGTACAGCGTGGTCATGGGTTCAAGTCCCATGAGTCGAAGAAATTTTTCTATGTTCGATATTTGCATTAATAAACATAACTTTTCTATATTGTCTCTGGATTGGGTGTTTGTCGTACAGTCGTCGTTGTTTCCGGTTTCCACATCAAAAGTGCTTTTAGTTACTTACTTTGGGATCAGAGCAACGTTTATGATGTTGTCTAATAGTTAATTTTATTTTTATTTATTTATATTTATTAATATAAAATAGATTGTTCGATGGTTTTTTCGATCTTAGCGACTACTTGGGTAACAACAATTGGGTAATAACAATAACAAAAATTAACAAAATTATAATTGCAGCTACGATGACACGACAGTAACCTGGTCGAGTGGAAACAACTCGTTTAATAAAACAAGATGTCAATTTAAAATTACAGTGACGCATGTCTGATTGTGACCTTGAACCGAAAACGGCGCGCAACTTTTGTACCTGTTTAACATCTTCCTGCAACTTCTTCTTATCGCCTTCTAAATTCCTGATCGCTGCTTGAAGTTTCTCTGCTAAGTCTTGAAAGTCGCTTCTTTCCATTATTGTTTTTTCCAGCTCTACTTCTAAATCGCCTGTGAAGTAATAATACGAACAACTTGTAAATGTTAAAAAGCAAAGTTGGGACAACAAATGAAGTTGCATGGGAAGTCACAGAATTGAAAAATTTAAACATACTCGTTAATTTTAACTGCCTCTGTGGCCGAACGGTTACCAGTCTGGCCTGCATTTATTTCTCTCGTGAGTTTGGGTGTAATTTGTTAAGCAAAGCTGCAAACTTGTTAGCAATAGCGAGGAAAATGGTAGACGAAAGAAAAACAATTAAAGTATATATAACAAATCAGTTTTAACAAACAAAATTAGTTATAGTTGTCAATTTAATGTCAACAACAATAAGAATAAAATATACCATCTGATTTATATTACATAAATAATGTACGAAAAATCGCGTAGTTGAACGTGTCATTGTGTTTTTATCTCCTTTTATTTTTTCATCGAAAGAAAAAGTTAGGTGTACTACAGTCTATCGTTAAGTTCGAATTTCAAAAAATGCTTTTGCGCGCCGATTTCTAATGAGAAAGAAAGCCTTTACGAGCTAATGAGGTGAAAACGTTACTTACTTCTATGCTTCTCCATCTGCGATAAGAGCGCATCTGTCTCGAGTTTCTGTTGATCGAGCAAGTCTCGAGCCAAAGACGTCTTGTTAAGCTCCTCGCGTACTGTCACCAGCTCTGCTCGGAAACGTGATGCACGCTCTTCTTCAGCTCTGAATTTCAAAATATATAATTATAAATACATTATTGTAGATTATATTTATTTTATTTTATAACACCAAGTGACGGGACGAACAAGTCGTGCGCTTGGTGGTAAGCGACGCGTCTGTCCATAACAGTTGCAGTGCCACTCAAGAATTTTATTTCGCAAAGATCTGAAGGGTATTGCCACTGCGCTTGTCACCCTGAGACATAAGTTGATAAGTCTCATGTGCGTGTAATTTCACCAGCACCCTTACCCTTCAAAACCAGAAAACAGTAATGCTCACACTACTGCTTGGCGGCAGAAATAGGTAAGGTGGCAGTCCTTCCCTAGGCGAACGAATTCACAAGGAGCTCTACTACTGCTAAAATGTAATTTCGATAATAATTTCGTGCGTTTCAATTCCGCTGTCTTCTTCGCTCTTATTGAATCGACACAAAGTTTTTCCTGACCAACTCAAGCTTTCGAATTTAGGATCGCAACTTATCAGTCTTTATTCAAATGTTGGCTATCGAGTACTCGAAATTCATACCTTAACATAGACTCTCGGTTTTGCGCTTCTCGATGCAGATGATCCACTTCAGCATTAAGTTGTCTTTTTTCATTTTCTAACGCCTCTATGTTCTTCTCCAGGCGTGAGTTTATTTTTTGAAGTTTTTCATAGTCTGACGTCAGTGATTCCACCTATCAATAAATCATAGACTGTAAACTGTAAGATTGAACCTTCACGATTGGTCAAACGCTACACCTCTCAAATCTCACGGATTATGGCTGGAGAATGATAGGTCAGGTATACCTAACGTGACCATACGTCCCGCTTTGATCGGGACAGTCCCGTTTTTAAGCTTCCAAATTTTACCCACTTTACGCGATAATGAAAATTATATAAAGCCAGCCTTTATACTCCGTCCAACCTCTTATTTAACTTTTGAGAGCTCAAACTTTAATCAATTAGTGATGTCCTAATGCATTTCCGATTCGATATTCTATAACAATCGATTTTATGTCTGAAGAAGTTTTAATCGTATATGTGAGTGGGTTCAAAAGAGAAGACATTGTCTGATTGGGATCGTGATGTTACGTTTGACAATTTATGTACTCAAGAATTAATAATTAATGTTAATGAGGATTCAAGTGATGATTCCCGTTCACACGGAGAAGAATCCGACGATTCATTATAATAAATAATAAGAATTTATTATAAATATTTATAATTTACTTAATTTCATTATAATTCATTAGACAGGTAACAAAATTCATCAACTTGAATAATCTTCGTAAGCTGTTGGCTCGATAAATATCGGAGCTAAAGAGCACGTCGCTGCACTAAAATTAAAAAATAAAAGAGTTCGGGAAGTATTGCATTTTTTGTGTATGGTTTTATGTTAATAATGACGGAACTTCGGAGGCATGCATACATCAAAAGTTAACTATATGGTTGGACGGAGTATAGGTATATCGGCAGATAACAATTTTTATGACAGACAAAAAACATATTTCGATTTTACGGAAACAAACAATCAAGCCCCTTTAAGAGAACAAATCAACACCATTCCACGTTATCTGATCAACTACTCGAAAAAGAATAATACTTACCATTGCGTTAATTTCAATTCTGTTTCGTTCTAGATTGTTCTTGTCAATTCTGAGGGACTCGATGGTCTTCTGCATGGACTCCTTCTCTTGCACCAGTTGATTTAACTCCGCATTCGCTTGATCCAACTTGCCTGAACAAATAATTTGAAAGTTTGTGAAGTAAATTACATATTAAAATGGTATAGCAAACACGGAGGGTGAACACCTTTTTACAAGATTATTTTTAGAATACTAACAACCTTGCAGGACTATATTACTAGCATCATAAATAGTGTTATCTCCGTACAGTAACATGCGAAAGCGCTATGGTAAATATTAGACAACACCACATACGTTGCTCCGATCTCAAAGTAAGTAACTAAAGCACTAGCGTCATGGAAATCGGAAACAACGTCGGTACCACTAACACCCAGACCCGAGACAATAGAAAAGTTAGTTTAGTACTAAGTACATTGACAATGCCCGGAATCGAACCCGAAACCTCAGAGATGGCGACACCATGAAAACCGATGTGCAAGCCATTCGACTACGAGGTCGTCAAACGCAGACAACAAAAACTTAAAATTTTATTTTAGTCTTGGAAAAAAATCATGGAACAAAAGTTGTTTATGATCTTAGCCATATAGGCCTGCGAGATTGTTAGCAGTTTACAAATAACCCTGTATAAAGGGTAAAACCAAAACTAATTGTATTAGTATATTATACAGCTTCTGCATACTTGGATAATAAAAGTCCGTGGTAGTGACCCGTTTAGAACTTGCAAGTAGTCTCGATCTAAGATAATGTACTCCCGGATACATTATTCGAGCCACTTTGTCAGTATTAAATGTCCTTAGCTTAAATAATGTTTGGTTGACCAATAACTAATTCAAGTTTGAAACCAGTGTACTAAACGTCATTTTATTCACGTAGTCTAAACACATATTTAGTCAAAATGTTTTGTTGAAAATTTGAATTTGCGAAACCGGGAAAACTCTTTCTTCAATTATAATAATATTTATTTTATTCTAACACTTGAAAAATAAAAATGCAAGATGGCTCGATTTATGTGTCCGGGAGTGTATTATGACAAATGTATTCAAATGTATATTTACGAATGAGCAATACAGTTGACGATTTCAAGTGTAATTTGCTTACCTATGAAATAAAGAATTTGACTTTATTATTACAAATTAGTCATTATTAAAACAAAGACACGACCACGTTGTTATTATTGACGTTTTTAAGAATTATGTCATCATTAGCCAGGCTTTTGTCGGTGTAGCCTCCTCCATTTAATCTTAAATATTGTTCAGTGGTTTACAGCTTGCCTTCCGCATCGCGGTTCATCGGCCGATCGGTCACTCGCTGATATCCGGTCAGAACCCCGATTCAGAACTCTTCGATATATTAACCGAATCGCTCGATTGGATATCGTTCTCGAATAGAAGGGCGCTTTCCGAGCTATTCAGAACATTCCGCATTAAACGTTCGATTCGCATACGATATCGTTATCCAACTGCGTTTACGGAGTTAGTCGATGAAATAGATTACAAAAAAAATTTTAAATCCTTTTATATACATTTTTACGACTTTAAAGGCCAAAAATTTAACAAAATCCAAACTTTATTTAATATAATATGAGATTTCCATATTACATTCTTGCTTTGTAAACAATAGGGCGATCAGTAACTTTCATTCGATAACTGTGTTCTGAATAACGTTTGTAGCCTCTGCCGGTCGAGAAGTTGGAGTAATCATCAACCAGGAAATATATGGTCCGAAAAAATATATGTAAAACGGCCCTATACAAAAATAGCGTTGTTGACATGGCACCCAAAATATTTAATAAAATTCCAGACGCAATAAAAAATCTTAGTGGAATGCAATTCAAGCATGTATTAAAACAATTATTAATTGACAAGTGTTACTTTAGCATAGAAGAATATTTTAATGACAGTTTCTTAGAATAGGTAAATGCTGACAGTTGGGTACCATTTAGTTATTAATATTTTTAAACTTTTTAATTATTATTAGTTTTTTGACATTGTATCCATTTTTCTTTTATTTTTATTTTGACATTACATTTTTATTTAATTGACTTCGTATGCCACTTTGGCTTTTTGCAGAGATTCCATAAAATTATTATTACCATCTATATCATGTACCTGTAATAACGAATGAATAAATGAATTTAATTGAATTGAATTGAATCGTACTGGTGTGACGTCATTGCGGTTCGGTTTCGAAAACGACAGTTTGACTTTCGATTCGGGTGTTGTGAACAAAAATGAACTGAGTTATCGGAAGGTTCTGAATCGACCCCTAGAACCCAATTCTAGGGGAAGCTTTTAAAATGGCACCTTTTACTCGCCATGTCTTTTATTTGTATATTCCTTCACGAACAAAAACACTTACTTTGCAGATCGTGTACTTTGCTGTCCAACGAAGCAATATTGGCGTCAGCTGCCTCGCAATTCTTTCTCGTTGTCGACAGTTGTTCTCTCGTGTTTTGTAGTTTTACCTAAAAAAGTTTTTTCATTTATTCATTCATATTTATTTATTTGTATGGACATTGATAGTGACAAAATAAGTATAGTTTAGAACAGAATAGAATAGAAATCATTTATTCCGTACAAGAGCACAGTACACACACGTTACATTACTAAAAACAACACATAATAGTTTGCAACTACAAAATTACTTACAAAGCAAAATTGAAAGCATACCATGACTCATTACAAACTATTTAACAATTCCAGTTTCACTAGGCCCGGCGAAACATTAAACATACAAACATACTATTAGAAATATGCCATGGACACGCTAAGCTGTCAACACAATAACTGCCTCAGTGGCCGAACGGTTACCATGCCGGACTGCCACGCAGAGGTCCCAGGTTCGATTCCCGGGCCGGGAGAAATATTTGTATGGCCTACAATTATTTCTCTCGTGAGTTTGGGTGTAATTTGTGGTTGTCTATATGTGTGTCCATGGCACCCGCGACACAGGGTTTCCCTAGTGCGGGGCTATGTTGAGTGTGTGCGTTATTTAACAATTTTTACCTGAACAGGAGTTTTAAAAACGAAAGAAAGTGTGCCTCTACCACGAGATTACTACGACAGTTGACGCGACCGCGTAAATTACTTTAGAATTTTGTATGGCATATTATACAGCGCCCCTAGCGGTCACAAGAAGAAACAATGTATACAAATATTTTACGCGGTCGCTAGCGAGAACTGCCACTGTAATCTCATGGTAGAGCCGCTAATCATGCAATATAAAGTACAAAAATACAATCAACTGATTGAGCTATGTTTGAAAAGATGCAAAATATTTGCGAGTCGGATATACTGCACTGAAAATACGACCGGGTGACTTGGCTGCAAAGCATTTTTCTTTAGTCACTTCGGTGTTGTACGCAATCTTCAAATATTTAAAAGCTTAACGTAGCGGTAAAATATGAATTTTAGCTCGGAAAGGCTTTCTTTCTCATTAGAAATTAGCGCGCAAAAGCGATTTTTCCACGTTAGCGTGCAAAAGGTTTTGGAAATTCGAACTTGACGATGGACTGTGGTGACTTGTGAACGTGACTTTTTCTTCCGATGAAAAAAAATATAATGACACGTTCAACTATGGGATATGTCGTACATTATTTATGTAATATAAATCCAGTGGTATATTTTATTGTCATTATCAGGGATCGGAATAGGTAGTTTTTTTACCTAAACTTTGAGAAACATTGACAGAAAATGGAGACTGTCTTACGACAATATTTTTTAGGTCCTAGACCTTTTCGGGATTCGGGAAATCAATTAAGAACATTAAAAACTGTCGTAATTGGGGACAGGCAGGTACACTATATTTATCTTAACTTTGCGTCTCACAGTGGTTCAGATCTGCGATATTGCGGACATTGGATTTTTTTTCACGATACCTCTCTAAAAAAATGCCAATCGAGAGATCCTATTTAATAATTAAATATTGTCATATCACATTATGCCATAAATGTAATAGTTTAGTAGGAAAAAAATAAAATGTGTATTTTTTGTACGGGATCATACCTTTAATGCCTCATCGTTACAGTCTTAGTCGCGCGCCCAAACCTACCTATTTACTACTTGTACGCGTCAGAAAATTCCGACCCCTGGTCTTTATTGTTGACATTAAATTGACAACAATAACTAATTTTGTTTATTAAAACTGATTTGTTATAGTTCAACTGCTTTTCTTTCATCTACCATTTTCCTCGCTATAGTGAGGTGAAAAGTTTTGTTTCGCTCGGCAGCCGTTGTTTTGCATCTCGTGTCTTGAAACCCTTGCTACGCTCAAGGTTCTCTTTTTGAACCACTCGTTTCGCTTTTTGGTTCAATCTTACTCTTTCACTTGCTCAGGTTTCAATACAAGCACTCGCGTGAAACAACAACTTTGCAGCCTTGCATAACAAATAAAAGTGCCAAAAATCAGGCTCTTCTTTTTAATCTCTGTTCAAAGGAAAGCGAATATTTCCGAGTATGTACGACAAAAAAAAAATAAGTAGTACATGACATTCTACCTGCAGTTCATGTATTTGAATCTGGTACTTGTGCAGAGCTGCCTGTACTGCCGAGATGGTACTTTCAGCGAAAGCGGTCGCGTTGGCAGACTGGGACACATTGCGCTTCGGAGATCGCGACAAACTGCAAAAGAGGTCATATTTCAGGGTAAAAAAATCTTCGCTGAATGGAGTACTGATAACCCTGTTGGGAGATGGCTTCCTTCTTCTGTAGTAAATCTTGAGATCAATTCTTTGGATGCTCCAGTATTTTTTAATCATATGCAATTTACTAGGTACTATTTGCCTTAAAAGTGAAGGACTACATCATGATTCTAAGTTGGAGGTTCCATAAAATCGAAAGTTTTTAAAAATCTGCAAAACACTTGTGAAATTACCAACCCATATAGGGATCAGAATGGTGGCCTAAATCCTTCTTTAGAAAAAGCCCAAGAAGAGATGACCAGAATGACCAGTAGAAAGATAAAAATATAAAACTAAAATATACAATTGACGCAAGTGGAATGCGAATGGAAATGCTTTGCAGTAAGTTTAATACTTGATGATAAAGAAATTTGCACCTAAACCATATCAGATTAGAGTTTATTGACGATTATCATATCAGAGCGTCTTAAGATCGAAGAAAGCACAATGGGAAAAGCGCCTTAACGTCTAATGTATACATTAAAATCACTAAATATAATTACATGCTTCAGGCCCAAATAAATATTTTTCGGTAATATGTTTATCACTCAGTTTTGTATGAAAAACTTATTTTTCTAGATACCCTATGGTTATGTAGAATAAATATATAGCGCTAAATTTGAATGCGCTATCTTTAATATAATATATGCTAGGCGTTTACGTGATCATAGGACTTATATTGTCGGACTGGTATCGCCATCTCTAAGGTTCAGAGTTCGATTCCTGGCGGGTCATTGTAGAAAAACTATCTTTTCTATATTGTCTCGGGTTTGGATGTTTGTGGTACCGTCATTGTTCCCGATTTCCTTGACACAAGTGCTTCAGTTACTTACTCTGGGTTCAGAGCAACGTATGTGATGTTGTCTAACATTTATATTATAAAAGAATGTACACGGGGCCTTCGTGATGGAACGAACAAGTCATGCGGCTGATGGTAAGCTACACGCCTGTCCATAACAGTTGCAGTGCCACTCAGAGCTTTAAATCGCAAAGATCTGAGGGGCATTGCCACTGCGCCCATCACGCTGATACATAATACACAAGTCGCATGTGCCTGTAATTTTACCAGCACCCTTACCCTTCAAAACCGGAACACGGTAATGCATTACTGCTTTACATTACTGCTTTGCGGCAGAAATAAGTAAGGTGGCAGTACGGGAAGTACTGTCACGCGCGAAATGTTATTTGCACCGATTCGTCTTATCGCTTCATCTTTAGTTTAGAGTACAATAGGACAAAAGAGTGAACCATCTCGGTAACGCACGCGCCGTCTATTTAGTACAAACAACTAGTATAAACACTTTTACGCATTGGCACTTAATTCTAAATTTGATAATCTTTATGCGTAAATAACTTGTTGAATTAGTAAGAAAAGAGTCAGCAGTCGGTATTTTACGAAGAACTTACTGTTAAAAAAAACGACCTGTTAAGTAAAGAAATAATTGGAAACTAGAATTCAGAAAAAGCATTAAGCGCATACCATCGAGTACATAACCAGAAATAGAGACGAAATAAGGACCATCCATCCTGGCCTTATATCACTTTTAAATATCAACTCTCGTTTGCACTGAAATCACAAATTAGAAAGCTGCAATAGTACAGCGCCAACAACTCATCTGTATGTCTCCGTATATTCCAAAAAAAATCTGTATTTATTGTAACAAAGATAATATCTCCAACAATGGGGGGCTGTTCCATTTGGTGATGTAGGAAGAACAGCAAAACATCTAATTACAAAACAAAGGAAATAACATTTCATCAGTAATTATATATGTAATTTTTCAATTTTCGTCCATTATAGCGAAGCTCAAGTTAAACTGGTCGATTTGAAGTGAAACAATTGACGACACCCGTCAATTGTTTCGAATGCGGGCTGGCCAATCGGAGCGCAGTTGTCACCGTAATGGTTTGGCAGAATAGTTATCAGACAAATTAAATGACACTTCTTCTCTATTTCTGGTTATATACTCGATGGCACACCCATAACAGGTACGATGCACCAAGGTCGTTAAATCCGTGTACGATTTAAGTAAAAGAACTGTTAATGGTTTTATTACACTATTGTAACAGAAAGGGTAAGCCTTTAACCTTTCTTTAACTGCCTCGGTGGCCGAACGGTTACCATGCCGGACTGCCACGCAGAGGTCCCAGGTTCGATTCCCGGGCCGGGAGAAATAGTTGTATGGCCTACAATTATTTCTCTCGTGAGTTTGGGTGTAATTTGTGGTTGTCTATGTGTGTGTCCATGGCACCCGCGACACAGGGTTTCCCTAGTGCGGGGCTATGTTGAGTGTGTGCGTAAAAAAAAAGCCGTTCCAAGAGATAACATTCATCGGTGCAAATAATATTTCTTCAACTAAATAACATATACTAACAATAACGAAAATAAATATAATGAAACTTACTTATCGACTAAGAGTATCTGTGACGCCACATCAGTTTCTGAATCCTGTATGAGAGCACGGGCAACCTCTTCCAGAGCAGATCGCATGACGTTCGCCTCAGAGCATAGTGTCTCTGCCTGGTCGCATCGCTCCTCCTGATGATTTTACAAACGAATATCACATTCATGAAATAACGTAAACAATTAAGAGCATGAATGAATGAATGTTTAGAAGGACAGGTGGTAGGATGGATGGGTGGATGTATGAATGGATGGGATAAGATAAGATATAAAAGATAAATTAAGTTTATTATAACTGAATACAAATAAAACAAATGTAAAATAAGCTATGACAATATGAATATAAACAATAAAAATATGAACCTTCATTTATTATAGAATCATTATAAAGCTATGTAATTAAATCTTAGAATTCTAATTGTGTAGTAAACGAGGATAGAACCAAGATGGAGAACACCTAGTGGTAGGAAAACGTGCTTACTGGAAACACCTGGAGAATATATTAAGATTATCATTTCCTAACTTTAAAACTTACATTATAAGTATTTTAATTGAAAAGTCATATTACAAAATTGAAGAGTATGTTTTAGATAAAGAAGTATGGAAAAACAACAAGAGTCTAGGGGTCGTATTATAGAACTCTACTTAATACTCAAGTCAGGACTTGAGTATTGCAGTGAGCACTGAAAATCATATTCAAGTCCTTGCCATTAGAGTCGTATTTCCCGTGCTTGAAATCATACTCAAGTCTGCTCAACTCCTGACTTGAGCATTGATTAGAGTTCTAGAATACGACCCTAAATTCCACACAATTATGATTCAAAGTGTATTCCATAGCATTTAAGTTTATTTGAAAAGAACAATCCCTAGAGTTTCTTGCTCGTTCTTTTCAGGGAGATCAGCGTAGTGAACGAGCAGTAGTTTAAAAAGTAACTTAAGAAATGACGTTTTCAAGTGTAAAAATTTTACCTATGGAATAAATGATTATTTGACTTTGACAGCATTGTTACTGCTATCTAAAAGTATATATGTTCTTGTACTGCTGTTTTTTCCTTTAAAGCACAGGTTCCCAAATTTTTTAGCTCACTGCTCACTTAGGCAAGACAAAAAAATTTCAACGCCCACCACCACAAAAAATAATTAAAAACACGTATTTTTTATATTACCTTAACACAAAAAATCACGAGGTAAAGGAATTACATATTTGTAGCGTAGTTTATAAAGCAAATTCAGATTTTTATTTCAAATGCGACAGCACCTCCTGGACAATATCAAAGCACCCCCAATTGCTTCCGAGGCCACTACCGCCCCCTTAGGACTCTTTGGGAAACTATGCTTTTGTAGGGACCACTTTGGGAAACTATGCTTTAAAGGCACAGAGAAACCAACTAAACCATAGACTGAAGAGTCTTGGAAATAACTGCCTCTGTAGCCGAATGGTTACCATACCGGACTGCCACACAGAGGACTCAGGTTCGATTCCCGGGTCGGGAGAAATATTTGTATGGCCTACATTTATATCTCTCGTGAGTTTAGGTGTAATTTGTGGTTGTCTATGTGTGTGTCCATGGCACCTGCGACACAGGGTTTCCCTAGTTCGGGGCTATGTTCAGTGTGTGCGTTATTATTATTATGAAATAAATAATATTTGCATTAGGAGTCAAGCAACAGCTTTTAAAAAAGTTAGAAACATACCAGCCCCTGCAATTCACCAAGCAACCGTTGTATTCGTGCATCTCGCTCTCTCAACTCAGCCAAGGCGTTGTCGCGTTGTGACGCCATCTCGCGAAGTTCCACGCGGAGGGTTTCTGCAGCGACGTTCGGGGGTTGGGCATACGCTGTGCCTGCTTGCATCAGGACTTGAGGAGCTTCAGGCTGGGCAAACACAACATTCTAAATTTCTTAATAGTATTTTATGCAATCGTTGCATAATTATTAGAGTTCTTAAAGTAGAGTAGTTATGTAATAGGTACGAGATTTTAAGACCTAATTATGTAACGATTGCATTCAGTACTTTATCTCCACACATATCATAAACCCTCTATGATGTGTTCAAAAACCGCAAATTATGACCAGCATAAAGATAAACGGTTTTGTTAGAGCAAATTTCTTATCTGTGAAAATGTTATTATTGCTTGATGATAACATCAAATTCGATTTTATTATTATATATACATTGACTTATTATATGGACGTCGGATCCGCGCTAAAAAGTGTCCGAACTTATAGGGCGTTAAGATCGTATACAGAGCGTCATTCACGCTTTAGTCTTCGTTTGTTCGACTGACAGCGAAGCAAGCAAAAGTAGACAGTACTGCGATGACATTACAATTTAAATTCAACGTTTTAGCTTTTTCATATTCCTCTACATGTCACTACGTTTAAATAGGTTGACTTGGGACATTTTTTTCGTGGTTTTTGTATTAGACCCGTCGTCCATTTATTTGTAAGTCAATGTATATATATATATTAAAATTTCGAACATCTCTGAAAAACAAAACAATTTTATTCAACCTCAATTTTAATATCAGTCGGGATGAAATTATATTCGAAATGAAATGTCAATAGCAAACAATTTTGACAAATTTCACATGTTACTTGATATTGAACGATATGATAGTCAGTTGGATAAGTATGAATTGATAAAAAGGTTAGAATGGTTGGATAATGAAAATAACAAAATAATTAATCAGTATGTGAATGGAGGATGAATAAATGAAACTGGTACATTTACTATAAGTGGAGCTTCCCTAGTGCGGGGCTATATTTATTGTGTGTGTGCGTTAATTGGACCGCATCTCATGCCAACTTACCTTAACTCCCTGCCCAGCGGCATAAGCATTGATGGAATAACTGCTCAACATTCCAAGGAGATCTCTGGCATTTGAATCAAAGTCGTTCTTTACACGGTAAAGATCACGCTCTGTACATGTCTGCAGCTCAGAGAAGAAACGTTTAACTGCTACAACTTCCCGCCACAGGCTGAGGAGACGGTTATGTTCGCCTGTGTAGTAGTCGTTGAAGGCCTAAAGAAAGTATGAGTTAATTTAGCTTAGACAGCAGTTTTCGACACTTTACTGTAAAGTAAGAAGCTAAGAAAATTTGCCTTATTTATTATATATTGGAAAAACTTTCGTAACATTCAAAATCAATCAATTTTTATTCAATGAATGCAAAATGTGTCTTAGTTTGTTTTTAAAGATTTTTGTAATCCATTACAAATTTGAGACTCAATAATTGTATCATTGTGTAACAAATTTTCAAAAAGATTCCTTTTCTGGTTTGACAATTTCTGTTTAACTGAGCTGCAAGTGTGTAGGAAAGAGTAGTTATACTCCTAAATTTTGCTTTTTATTTATTTATTTATTTATTTAAACTTAATTGCACACAAAACAGTACAAATGGCGGACTTAATGCCATTAGGCATTCTCTACCAGTCAACCGGAGAGCTGGGTTCAAAATAATGAACAGGGGCGCATAACATGATAATTAAAACACACAAGAAGTTTATAAATAATTTTGATATATAGTTTAAACACAATATAAATATAGCACATAATATTATATGACTAACTATATACTTATATAAGCAACCTATACACAAATAAATGCATAATATATAATACATACATATATATATGGGGTGTGCTAGTTGTTCCACCTCCACGCGTGCGAAGTCCTTGAGCAGTCTGTGATAACATGTTGTCACAGAACGCCCCAGGGTGTACCCAAGGATGTAGCCGGTACACCCTGGGGCCAACACTGACAACTCTCGGCATCAGTCTGAGAATTATCAGTGAGGGCGCGAAGCGATCAACACGGCCCGTGCATGCGTTTCTGGAGGTGGACCATGGCAAGTGGTGGGCAGTCTAAATTTACACCCTCCTGCGTTAATGCCTACGCAGTTGAGCACCGTACGCAGGGATGAAGGAATCCTAAGAGGCGGAACCCGAGCGCTAGCAATACGCCCTTCGACCCTGATTTCCTGCCAAACGGTAGCCCTGTTATTAGCCAACGCAGGGAAATGGCATTGTGTCCCGTCAGAGGGCCACAAGCGAGGTGCGGGGGGGACGGACTCGGCCATGTTGACGGGGTGAGTATGTACGGAACTTTGATCATATCAGCCAGCCGCACATTTCGAGCCCCCTATGTCGCGCAGTGAGCTCGTAACTCCTGCACCTATACTCTCCTCTGACAATCTTGGTGTCCCGAATGGGACATCCCCAAAGGTGCGGACTCCGTGGTGGGTGGGAAGTCAGGAGAGCGAATTAAAACACACAATGACATGGACACTAACGATCGTTCTTTAAAATCTAATAACCCTAAACCGGCGGTACTGGAGGGGAAACCCAAAAGTGCCCCACGCACGCACGCACGCACGCACGCACGCACGCACGCGAACTCGTCCCTGTTGTCCTGGGGCATGGCCGGCGCCTAACCTTCCAGTTGGGCACGGTCTACCTAAGGTTCAGATCCAAGAGGTACACCGATGTGCCACCTGAGAAGACAGGCACAACAACAACACGGATGGACGTCTCCTCGAACCCTCCACCTCCTCTGATATCCCCGGAGAAGGTGAAGGGCCCTTCTTGACACCCGTCCCTGCGGAGCCGCTTACAAACCGGTGGCTGCCAGCTAGCAGTTAGCTGACGCGGCCACGGGCCTGCCTAAAGTGGTGCTCGCCTCTGTCTATATGGCGGAGATGATGTGCCACCGCAGGAAATGTTACAGCTAATCAACTTCTGCAAGCCTGCGAACCTCGGGGAGCCGGTAACACCAGGAAGACTGCTGGACACAGCACTGATCGAAACACAGGTTAAAGAATCAAACAAAAAAATCAAACATATTGAGCAGCTATAACTCCGCATGCCCACTGAGTGACTCGTCCCCGCGGCAAGGCCAACACTGGTGGGGGCCTGAGCTTGAGAGGCTACGAAGGAGTGTAAGGAGACGCTTCAATAAAGCAATGAACACATGCGCGGATGAGGACTGGGAAAACTACAAGACGGCCAAATCCAAACTAAAAAAGCGCATACGGTTCAGGAGCACCGCGTCTCGGCGATGCGGGAACAACACGTCTCCAGTACCTGGTCAACATCTTTTCCCCATAGCTGGCGAGAGGTAAAAGTCATATTTACACCGAAACCTGGTAAAAACGACTACACTGACGTGAAGTCCTTCAGACCATCAGCCTCACATCGTTCTTCTTGAAGACATTAGAAAGGTTATGTGACAGAGAACTGAGGGATGGAGCGCTTAAGAACACCATTACACGGTAACACTACACTAAACCAACATGCATACAGCCAAAGAAAATCCACTGAATCGACCCTACATGCCTTTGTGGGCAAGATAGAAGTGGCCCTCAAAGACAAAGCAATCTGCCTAGGCACCTTTATAGACATTGAAAGAGCCATCGATAAAACAAACTTCTCCAGCATACAATCAGCACTGAGAAGACACGAAGTGGATGAAGTGCTAATCAGCTGGATTAGCAACATGCTAAAACAAAGAACAATAAAAACAACAGCAAATGAGACCCCATAGGCCATAGTAGCGAAGGGATGCTGCTGTGGAACATGGTCGTAAATGACCTCATCATTAAACTAAACAAAACACACAACAAACATTTTTATACAGTAGGATATCCTGATGACATAGCTATACTGGTAACAGGAAATTTATGCCAATACACTCTGCGACATTACACAAGCTGCACTCCGGATTGTGGAAAGATGGTGCAGAGCATACGAACTATGGGTAAACCCAACAAAAACTGAATTAGTACCTACCTACTACCCAAACTCTTCAATAGAGAACTACAGATATCAACCGAAGTCAAGTACTTGGGAGTAATACTGGACAAGTTGAACTGGAACAAGCATCTGGACAACAAAGTTAAAAAAGCTACTATCACCTTCTGGCAGTGCCATAGGATGGTAGGTAAACAATGGGGACTTTCACTCAAGATAACAACTATGGCTCTACACAGCGGTGATAAGACCCGTGATCTATTGCGGCGCGATAGTATGGTGGATATGAACCAAACTGACGATCTCAACCGATAAGCTGGACAAATTCCAAATAATTGCTTGCATGGCGACGACCGGCTGCATGAGGACAACTCCAACTGCGGCCCTCGAAGCGATGCTGGACCTGCGACCCCTCCCACTGTTCATCAGACTGGAAACGGCATCAACAGCAGTGCGTCTATACAGAGCCGGCCTTTGGAAGCACATGAGGACCCCACATACAGAAATCCTTTATAAGACTGTCAATGAGGAACCGCTACTGGAGGCGGCTGTGGATAGGATCCCAAAACAATACATGTTCGACAAAAAAATACAAGATACAATTGTTTGAAGAGCCCAACGAAGGACTGAACCCCAGAGAGGTCCGCGTCTTCACTGATGGATCTAAAACAAATTCAGGCACAGGTACTGGGGTATTCTCAGAAGACCTCAATATCAGGATTCAACACTGCTTGGTGACCACAACACAGTATTCCAGGCTGAATGCATGGCCATCAAGTTGGCAGCAGAAGCAATCATAACGAGAGAGTAAAGAATCACTCCATTCGAATACTCTCTGACAGTATGTCAGTATTTCAAGCACTGAACAGCTGTGCTCATTTATGAATGCTATCAAGCACTCATGGAGGTATGTATACAAAACCATGTAACTGTACAGTGGATTAAAGGACAGAGCGGCACACGTGGCAATGACGCAGCAGATGAACTAGCCAGAAAAGGGTCGGAGATGGACGCTGTAGGACCAGAACCCATAGTAGCTATACACAAAGGTACAAAATGTTCACATAATAAAACACGGACCACCCTTACGGTTTGTACACAGGCGAGCACTCCCAACGCTCAATGCCAGTCTATCTCGAATTTTAATTAAACTGAAAAGGCAAAAGCTTCGCACTCTAACTGCCGCCCTAACGGGTCATGGTCCATACAATAAACTCCTTTTCAATTTAGGTATCACAGACAGCTGTCTATGCAGAGCGTGCATGGAGGGGGAGGAAACAGCTGCGCACATCCTACTACAGTGCGGCATGGCCAACTACAGGGTGAAGTACCTTGGAGTGCCAAGGTCGCTCCCTGAAGTCTTCAGCAAACCGAGGAGGCTGCTGAGATTCATGGAGGAGCTTGGGTGGCTCGAATAGGACACTGCACCCACCACACGCAAAATAGGCGCCTTGACGTCGAGTTGCGGACACCAGCCCATTACACCAAGTACCAAGTACACATATACATTTACTATACATATTTGTATATAACAATGTCAGACTAATGGGATGTAGATTGAGACTCCAATATGAAATCGCGGACTAATTGCTTGAAAGCTAGTTTATTCGGCGTTTTTAGAATATGGGGCGGTAGAGCATTCCAGAGTCGCACTGCCTGAAGAGTAAATGAGTTAGAAAGAAAACCAGTATGGTGAGAAGGAATTAAGAGTCAATTTGCTGTCTGAGCGAACATTGTGATTATGGGATGCACTCAAATATTGAAATTTACATTTCAAATGTCCAGGTGCACATTTATCATTAATGATAAAGTAAAGAGTCTTCTTCTATCTTTCTTTTTTATTCCTTTTACCTGCGGAAAGGCAAAGGTCCATAGACAGTGCAGCCTAGTCTTGTTAGAATCAATTAGAAAATGATAATATTGATAACCCAGAAACGAAAATCATGTTACATGGTTGTAACCTACACCAATTTTAATTAAAAAAACAAACCAAACTCCCAATAGATGTACAAACCTGTTCCTCATCCTTCCACTCATCCTCTTTGATTGCCATTTCATCCCGAAGAGCCTCCCAGTCATTAGTCAACTTCTGTAAGTCATTGGTTAGAGCCTCGTTTAGGTGATGAGATTCCTCCAGCTGGTCACGGAGTAGGTTGTTCTGTGCAACTAGTTTTTCACATCTGTGAAGGGGCAGTACATAAATCAAAATTATTTTCCAAATAGACATAGTCAGTGTTTTGTAGAAAGGGCGAAAACGCCACTTTGTGTAATGTTTCATGGGGACATGATTTAGGTTTTAACACTGTTTTAAAATATTTACTTCCTGTTTTAAAATCCAATTATGGTTCTAATTAAATAAGTTTTAAAATTGAATTTAAAACAGGACATAAATATTTCATCTTGAAAAACTAAAACATTGCTGCCTTGAAAAATTCTTCAAAATGACACTTTCGCCGTTTCTACAAGACATACCCTGTCTCAGACCCTACCCCTATACCCTGTCTAAAAAATTGACAATTGTTTCATAAAACAGGTTATTACAAGAGTTACCAAATGATTGGTGAAGACAGATGGAGTAAGTAATAACCAAATGGTGATAAAATTATGTTTTCGGATCTAAATTGTATTTGTTTATTCGGCTTATTCCAAGTTGTCACCACTGGCTTTATAAAGTAATTTATTAATTATAAATCCCAAGTGCATTGATGCAAACTCTCATTTGTATCGAGTCAGTTGTGCGCTTCAATCTATGAGTCGCATGCTTGGATTGATGCAGTTGCGCACGAAAGAACCCAAGAAATGGTTAGTAGAATGTCCTATAGCAAGATGGATGGATAACATCATCTAACTTGCTGGTCATAGATGAGTGAGATGGCCTGTACCCAGCAGTAGGTGAAGTCAGCTGTTAATGATGATGATTGTATGATATAAATTACAGAATAAATATCTTTGATTGTCATAAAAACTTTAGATAAACCATGAGAGCAACAAAAGTTAAATACGTACCTGCGTTTTTCTTCATCCAGCCTACGCAGTGCCGTCTCTAAATCGTTGATCCTCTCATCCCGGCGGGTATCCGAGCTGGAGGATGCCGTGACCGGCGGCGGAAGCGCTATGGCCGATGGCTTGGCGGGCGGCCGGTACGTCGACGGAAGCTCGCTGCGGGGAGTCTCTAACAGTTGGTTTTCTAGCTCCGCGCATCGTTGTTTGTATTGGAGCACCTATTTAACAATGACTTGACTTGTACCACTGTTTTTAGGTCATCTAACAACTAAACAATTTTTGCGGTCCACCCAATTTTGAAACTAATATTTATACAGTTAGGGTGCATTAAACGCTCGCAAAATTACATGGAAATAAAAACTTTGGGAGCAATTTCAGCACAAGGAGCAACTATCAAAAAGAAAACTTTATTATTGTAGCATAATTATTATATGTCAAAGTAAGAGTGTCTATTTACCTGAATTATTACTTTTCACGTATTTAAAATCTCAAGATAATTGAATGATATTGTTTTTAAATTCCGGGAAACGGGAACTTGATGACCCGCGCCTAAATTTTGAAAAATTTGACAGTTGAATGACAGCACCAAAGAGTAAAGTAAGTATTTGGGAAGTGATGATGGTATGGCCCGTCCCATATACGGGACGATATGTTTTCACGATCTATCCCATCAATTCAGACTGACTGATCGCAACGATGAATCGATTTAATGTAGTATTAAGTCTGTCGTTTATATTTGACTTCACGGTTCGTCGTTGTAGACCATTCTCTAAGTTTTAGACTGATCGAAACAACGAATCGATTTTGTATTTTTTATCGTTAACGATTTACTTCTAGCGACGGAACGATGCTATTATCCCGACGATGAATCGCCTGTGTGCACTTTAGAAAACGTTCAGAAATTATTGTTTTATTAAGTTACCATTCAGAATCATGTTTCACTATTCGCTAACTCAGTGTGTTCGAATATCTTTTTATTTCAATAAAATGATTTGAGATCATGAGAATTCGATATTTACCTTTGACTGTAATCGTGACACGAGAGCTGCCTGTCCTTGCTGCGCGCGACGATATGCATCAAGCCTTCTCTTATGATCAGCAGCCTCACCGGCCAGCCGAGCACGCAACTCCTCGTTTTGCCGACGCAGATCGCTACTTATGCTACCTACTGGAGAATCCATTTCTGGGGGACTCTCCAGGGACTTCTGTAAAATGAAAATCAATTCACCGCCTGGATATTGAGTCTTTATTTTTATTTAAAAATAGAATCACGCCAGGCCACAATCTCGCTTGATATTAAGCAATGATGTGACCGACGATAATGGTATGCGTTTGTTTAAAAATTGCCTATTTACTCTAGCCTTGAAAAACAATAAATTACTTTTTAGTAACACACTTTCTATGAAGGAGGAAACAAAAGCGCTTTGTGTGAATCTTAGGGGATGGAAAAAAATCTGTGGTATGAATGGGTGGCATATTTTCTTTCGACTAACTAGATTATTACTGAACATTTTTGCAAGCTTTTTTATTCTTGAACAGGAAATTAAATGTTACGAAAAATATTAAAGACATCGAATTTCTGTTTAGAAAACTCGAAAATATCCCCACAAATGCATTTGTATACCAGTCTCAAAATTACTATTTTGACGGCATATCCTTGTTTAGAGGAAATACACTAATATCGTCAGTCGGGTCGTATTCCAGAACTCTACTCAATGCTCAAGTCAGGATTTGAGTATGGTTTAAAGCACTCGAAATCATACTCAAGTCCCTGCCATTAGGGTCGTATTTCCAGTGCTTGTGTTTCCAGTGCAATCCTGACTTGAGCATTGAGTAGAGTTCTAGAATACGACCCTAAGAGGAATAAATTGCAAAAAAGACTATATAGGGAACCTACCTCCTTTTTCAGCCGCTGATGTGGAAGCGTGTTCGCTCGCCGGCCGATCGGAGCGCGAGCGCTCCGCGGCGTTGTCAGACTTTCCCTCGTGGGCAACTAAGGACAAGCAAATAAAATCGGTTACATACAGATCACTATAAAAATTAAATTACCTCTACCTAGATAATAATGTCAAGCATAAAAGTAATGTCATGTAAACTCCTTTTCTTAAATAAGTTGCAATCTTATCGTGATAAATATTTGTTTGCTATTACATTTGTGTCAGGCGTACCCACTATGTCGATTGTAATTGGTTTTAGCATTAATTATTGTATCAAGTGGTTTCATTTCAAAGTTTAGACCATGCCTCAATGTTTAAATATTTGATAAGTATATGTCACTGCAAGCAATGTGCATTAGAACGAGAAGTCATATGCATAATTTATTCGATTATCACTATAAACCAATAATAATTTTGTAACATCAAATTTACAACACCTGAAAAGTAACTTTCTTTTTAACCTTCCTTCTTTGTTTAAATTCAAAGCTAAATTGCCGGACAGACTTGCATTCTAAAGACATTTCACACCGCAAACGAAACTGCCACAAAAAGCGCAATGAGACTAAAAACGATTAATCAAGTTGTGTTTTAAAACTGCTATAATTTAGGTCGTAGAAAAAGAATACTAGGACTAAGGAACATTAACAGGTGAAAATACGGTAAGCAACTGCAAAGAAAATAGGTAGTGAAATGCTTTCCATGGGGTAGGGAATGGCTATCGGTCTAAACCATCTAATTACTTGCAGCGTACTCATTTTACCCCTTGCTAGGAATAAACCTGTCCCTTTTTAGCACCTGAATAAATCAGTAACATGTACTTGTGGTGGACATGTTACACAAATAAAAGCTTAAGTATGTTATAGTGCAGTACCTATCTTGGATTTATGTCTCCCGCGCGGGAAGAAATGTCTTGGAAAGAATGGGTTTGTAAAAAAAATAAGTACCATGATAAATACACTTTTCTGCCTCAATAAGTGTACCTACGTAAGTACTTTAGTTTTAATTGGATAAAACACACATCTCATTAATTTTCTATTACATCTATTTATAATAGAAAATTATGTAACCTTTTATTAATTTCTATACTTTTTATGTTCTATATATTTAAACTTTTATTATTATTCCTATGTGTAACAATTGCGAAAACCTAAGAACTGGGTAATTTATAATTTTAACAAAAATTTATCATTTACACGGAACATGAAATTTGGAATCAAGTCATGTAAATAACATTATTTTCGTCAAAATCGCTATTTACATTTATTTGAGCAAAAGGAAACGATATTTTCTACTGTTGGGCAAGCATATTTTTAAATTTTCTTATTTGCAATCAAATATTACCTATTTTCCGTAGAATAGAAATTTTTACTTCAAAGCGTTTAAAGACAATGTGCCTCCTTAATTAGGCATTTAAAATCAATCTAAAATAAACATTGACTTATTTTGTAAGTCAATGAAAATAAAGCTAAAATACGTCAAACAAAAAAAAAACAAACGACTATAGAACTTAATGTCATAAATCATTGTGTAATATTGGCATACTAATGTAATGTTTGTAAAAAAATCTAAATTCAAAAATATGAACTTGAAGTCCTCTAGTAGATATCTCTCACGTGACATACCTCGCGCTCTCTGCAAACAAAAGACGATCAAACCTATATAGGCAGACAGACTAAACTACAACATAAACGTATGTATCACGATAGTATATATTTCAGGTCAAACACCTAGAGTGTCTAAGCAGACAACCTTGCACTGCCCTGACCTAAGTGTACCTAAACGTAAACAACGATTAATATAACCTCTACAGACTACAATGTTTCTTAATGCAATAAAAATAGAGCAGGTATTAAAACTAGATTAACGTTAACAAACTTACCTGGGTTTTTTCTTAATTTTACCCCGGGCTGGCCATGATTCAGCCAGGTTTTTACTAAATCCTGTTTAACGATTGATAATACTGCCGTTGCCTAGCAACACAATCAAAACCGGCTATTAAAGAGAGTGTAAAGAGTTCGTAGATAAAAAATGTGAGAGATCGATAAAAAATTTGATAATTTCGTCGATTTAGTAATTTAGACAAAACCCATGCCATTAATATTCTTGGAGGTTGGATTGACTGACCTTGGATGTCAATTTCAAAACATGGAATAAATGATAATTAATTCACTATCGAAAGGTACAATTAGACACTTAAGTAGATAATAATATCAGTATGATTCACAATTATCGATTTTAGTTATGTCGTATTCATATAGTAAATAACTGGAAGAAGAATAAAGTCATATTGACCCTGGAAAGGTAAAACGTCTAACTTGCATTTGGAAAATGATACAGGAGAGCCATTTAAAGTAATTTTTTAAGATTTTATTTATATCTGTATCTGTATATGGAAAACCTGAAACTTTCCAGTTTTCCATTTATGAAATAAAATTAGAGTTATAACTTTTTTTTTAAATACTTTAAATCGCTCTACTGTAATATTTTCCAAATGCATGTTAGATGTTTTACCTTTCCAGAGTCGATGTCATGGAAACATATAACTGTAAAATGTCATTATCATTCGAAATTTGAATACACGATTTGAAAATTAATATTTAAAAATGCTGAATGAATCTTATTGGGTTTAGATGGTATTATTTTTATTATCAATTAAAAACGAGAATATAAATAAATTTTCTCAAACATGCTCGGAAACATTTGCGTTACTTTCTAAAAACGAACACGGAAAGTTTGTCATTTAAAGACCCCTTAAAGACCGTACGACTTCTTGCCGGCCAAGGCATGCAAAGTATGAACAACCATTACTTCTCTACACTTTTAAATCTACCTACTAATAATGAACTATGTAAACAGGCAAAAGAAGAACTCATCTGCCAGCTGCCCAGAGTTCATAGTTGCAAGAATTAAAAATACCTACCTGTACCGCTTACTAAAAAAAAAAAGAAAATGGCGGTAACATTTAAACTAAAGTGTTTCGGTATTTTTTTCTTATTTCGTCTTTTTTGTATTTCTATCTTTAAACGAGTGATAATGAGAAGAGCGGTAACGAAAATACAGTATTAGATACACATTCATACATCATGAGTTCAAGAGACTACTGTGTAATGTGCCTGGAAAAACAATAACATTTCTTTTAGCAGTTGTTCTAAAACGTCAAATATTACTTTTAATATTGATTAATATTTTTTTACTTTTTCTACCCACACATCTCTCTTTAGTCTTTTATTATTTCCTCACCTTGTTAAAGAAAAACACTATGCATACTTCGGCGGCGGGAACTGGGTTTGCTTGACTCGTATACAAGACCTCCCTGGCGCTCGTCCTTGTAACTCATACTCGTCCAGCAATCCCTTATTTCCCGGTCTCTCCAGTAATGTTTTAAAATTGGTTCCATTCAGGATTTTTTTTTAAATTTCAAATCGTGTTTTCTTAATACTATATTTTTTTTAATTACGACAATATTTACGTTCATGTGCGATTTTGTTATATGACTGCTTAATTTGCCAGACGCCAGACTTACACCGCAAAATACTTACAATCAGTAAAAAGAAACAATTATTCAATCACATATTTACTATAGCACAAACCGAATAGACACCAATGATTAAAGAAATTAAACTCAGTAAGTAACATTTAAACTTCTATATGTTAATAGTTGTGTCAAATTAGATCAATGTTATCATAACAACAATAGGATAAATCAATCGGTAATTTTTTTCTTCCATGCTACTACATATTTTATCACTTCACTAAAAGTACACCAATTGACAAGTGCAAAATTTTATATAGCCTATTCAAATTATGTTATTGAAATGTAGTATTTGTTCCTATAAAAAAACTGTGTCCTCGTGTGGTCCCCCAGAGCGGGGTGAGTACACTGTTTAAAAATTTATCAAACTAGTATGTTTTGAGGGGTAGGTGAGGCAAGGTCTCGGTTGGTTGACCACCCTTCGATTCCTGATGACAAATAGCATTGATAACGATGATATCGACAAGTTTTTATTGATTTTTCACAATTTTGGCCCTGACTGTGCGATAAAAAAATATGTTTAAGAACCTCGTTATTTATTACTTTAAAAATGTAATAAAAGCTTGAAAACTGTAACTGCACAACGAGGCCACTCGCAGATCTAAGTAGCTAAATATGCTAGCAGTATACTGCTTTGCGAATAAGCGAACATCTTCAAACGGTGGGCAGCGCAAACGTGACTAGAAGGGAGACTGCACGCGTTCGATTTTTACGAGAAAAATCCATTTTTGGTCAGATTTCATGTTATTTTGTATTACCACAAATACACATAAAAAAAGAAAGTACTCATGTGGATACTTTTGTTTTTTTTTTGTTGTTTTGTAGTTATGGTATTTCTTAATATATACTGATTAAAATTAATGTATATTACTATTTGTTTTTAGTATTATTACATTAAAAAATACTGACGTGGGTCCCCCCACGGGGACACCCACGGCATTATGGGGTACCCCAGCGTGCCCCATAGCCCTATCCCCGTTATGCCCCCACGCTTAGTATTGTTTTAATTTAATAATACTGAAAAGAAATCGTAATGTACATTAATTTCAATGAGTATGTATTAATAAGAAACATAACTACAAAATAACAAAAACAAACAAAAGTATCGACTTGAGTAATTATGTGAGGGACCCCGTTGTGCCTTAACCGGTTAGTAGCAACTTGATCATAGTAGGCGCTCAAAGGCTTCATAAAACCAATATCAAAAGGCTGGAGCCTGTGCATGCAGTGTGGGAGAAAGCAAAGTAATAGTTGCAGTGCCACTCACAGATTTAAATCACAACGGTCACTACTGCGCATGTTACTGGGACAAAGTTGACAATGTAACTGTAACTTCACCAGCACGCTTCAAAAGCGAAACGAAGGAATGCTCACATTACTGCTTGGCGGTAAAAATAGGTATAGTCATTCATTTGCAAAAACTACATCCTGACCCGTTTTTAGTACCCCGTACTGCCCCTACCCGGGGCATAATGGGTTTTTCTTAGGCTTCCAGTATAATTTAAAAAAAATGCTAGTT